TCCAAAGGAAGCTCCTGTACCCCCTCCATCCCTCCCTGAATCCAAAGGAAGCTCCTGTACCCCCTCCATCCCTCCCTGAATCCAAAGGAAGCTCCTGCACCCCCTCCATCCCTCCCTGAATCCAAAGGAAGCTCCTGCACCCCCTCCATCCCTCCCTGAATCCAAAGGAAGCTCCTGTACCCCCTCCATCCCTCCCTGAATCCAAAGGATGCTCCCGCACCCCCTCCATCCCTCCCTGAGCCCAGAGGCCTCTCCCGCGCCCCCTCCATCCCCGGCTGGAGGCCGAAGGATGCTCCTGCACATCCTCCGCGCTCCATCCCGCCGGCTGCGGCGGGAGGCGGTCGCTGTGGCAACGTGCCGTGCGGCGCAGGGGAGGGGATGCTCGGCGCAGGGATGGCTCCCGGCGGACGGGCAGCGCTGCCTGCGGCGGGCCATGGGCTCCCCTGAAGGTAGGGCCGCGCTCCCCGTGCCCCCCACACTCCCCCCAGCAACCCCCCGGCATCCTCCTGCCTTAGGCCCGGCTTTGGAAGCACCGCCGGGACCGGGGGTGACCCAGCGGGAACGGGGACGGGGGGGGCTCTGCGAGCGCGCCGGGGCTGGTTGGAGCGGGATAAGTGCGTTCCCAAACTCCTCCCTCCATCCGTGCGGGCACCTCGGGGTGCGGGGCTGGGGGTTGGGGGGTGCTGAGCCCCCCGCGGGTGCCACGGCGGGTTCAGGCGCCCGAGCGGCCCCGGGCGCAGGTGGAATCCGCCCGAGCAGCCGCTGCGATCGTCTTCATGCTTGAGAAACTGGGTTAGTGGTGGTGGTGGTGAGGGGGGGGGGAGGCGGCCACGGCCTCGATTATTCATGGGCACGGCCCCCGGGGGGGCGGCTGGGGCCGGCGGAGCCCCCTCAGCGCGGGGGCGCGGCGGCATCGCGGGCTGCTCGTGGATCAGCGAGCCGGGCTGGCCCTGGCACCGAAGGACACGTGTGTGCATCCCCCCGGGGGTGTCTCCCCCCCAGACGTTCACCTCGGGGTGTGTATCCCCCCCGGGTGTGTATCCCCCCCAGATGTGCATCCCTGGGTGTGTATCCCCCTCCAGATGTGCGTCCCTGGCTGTGTTTCCTCCCTCCCAGGTATTTATTCATCCCTGTGTGTCCATCCCCGGCCGTGCATCCCCCTGGGTGTCCATCCCCCCCAGTGCATCCCCCTGAGAGCGCATCCCCCCAGACGTGCTTCCAGGGGGTCCAGTAGCCCTTCCCTGAGCCAGGACAGGAACGGAGGCAGCAAACAGCGGGAGCAGAGCGCTGGGGAGAGGACCCAGAGAGGGAGCTGCTGTCAGCAGGCTGCTCTCTCCCACACAGAGCCGGGAATAGACGCTGGATCCCAGCGCTGCGGCACCAACGCAGCCCCGCCGCCCCCGGGGGGGTCCAGCCGTGGCACCGTTCCCGTGCCGGGTGCCTGGATCCTCAGCCAGGCCCCTGTTCCCAGCGGCTCCAGGGGGATTAGGGATGGTCACAACCTCCGTGCCCTGCCCCAGCCCAGCCCTGGGGGCTCATCCCAAGGATTCTCGGGATGTGGGGGGCTCAGGATGTGCGGGGGGGGACATCAACTCTCCCTGCCAGAGCCCAGGGCTTGATTTCGGCAGGTCCTCAGCGCCTCCCGGCCCTGCCTGGGCTCTGCTGGCCCCGCGGATGGAGATTCCTGCCGGATTTCCCCTCCCAGGGCAGCGGGGGGTGGGCGCCGCCCTCGCAGCACCCCCAAACCCAGCCTGGGCGTCGGGTTGAACGGCAGGTGCCCCCCACCACTCCCCCCCACCCTGTCACAGCCCAGCGGGGTGCTCAGCTCCCCCGATCGGGGCTGGGGGTGCCCAAACCCCGGCGAGGGGCTGTGAGGGGGAGCAGGGGCTGCCGTGCCCGGTTGGCAGCGGGGGCTGCAGGGGTGGTGCCGGGGGTCCGGGCTGTTCCTGGCAGCGGGGCAGGCCGGGTTATCGCTGTTTTCCTCCCTCTTTGTGCCGGGGAAGCGGGAGGAGCGGGAGCCAATAACTGCTTCGTCATGATGCCGGCTAATTCTCCCCTTGTTGGGAAAGGGACTGAGCCAGCAGCGAGCGAGGTGGGCAGAGGCGAGCGGCACCCACGCAACCCACCCACCCATCCGCGCGCTCCTCCGCCCCTCCACGCAGCCTCCCACGCAACCCACCCCCGCCCGCCCCGGCGCGGTTATCGGGCGGCGAGGGCGGCGGGGCTGGCGGTGGCAGATAGGCTCGTCCGCTCCTCCGCTCGCTCGCCCTCTCGCCCGCCCCGCCGTCACGCTCTCGGATGCGCCGCAGCCGCCGCAGCCCCGGTGGCCCCCACGCGCGATCGGGTGGCCGGGCGAGCGGAGCGGGCCGAGGGCGTCCCCCCGCAGCGCCCCGCGGCCGGAGGGATGCGGTGTCCTCCCCGCGCCTAGGTGAGTGAGTGAGGGAGTGAGCGGCCGTGCGCTGCGGGGCTCGGGAGGGGGGGACGTGGACGCGGGTGGGGGACGCGCCGCCCCGGGAGGGGTGCGGGGGGGACGGTTCGCCGCGGCCGGTCTTTGCTTTGCCGTCTCCCGCCGCTCCCCCTTTCCCGGCTCTCCCGGGGGATTTGTGGGGGGTGGGGAGAGGGCTGAAGGGAGCCCCACGTCTTGTCCTCCCCCTTCTCCCCCTGCTCCCTGCCCTTGCCGGGGGGCCGCGGGGATAGGAAGGGCGGTGACCCGAGGCGGGGACGTGGGGACAGGGCCGACACCTCACCTGCTCCCCCCCACCCCCCGGGGCATCACAGTGCTCCACAACCCCCCCGGGACACCCCCTGCCCTCCTCCCCCCGGGACATTGCCATGGGCACAGCGTATCCCAAGGGAGGAGGCCGGGACAGCCCTGCCATTCCCAGCCCCGCTTGTAGAGTGAGCTTGTGGGGTCTCAGCGCTGTTGAAGGGAGGTGCACTCCCCATCCCACCCCCGTCTCCGTGAAGGGCTTTGATGATCCCTGGCCGTGGTGGTCAGAGTTTTGCCGTGGACATGGGATTTTGCAGCCTCCCACCACCACTACCAGCTTCTCCTGGCCCCCCCTGGCAAAGCACCAAGGGGCCAAACTCCCACCATGGAGCATCGGGGGGCTACCTGGAGGGGGGAATTTGGGGTGCAAAACGCGCCTCCCCCTCGTAGTTCTTGGCCACGAATGGAACCACCTCCACAGGGGGTTCAGCCCCCGGCTGTGGGCGTGCAGGGTGGGTGCTCAGGCAGCGCTAATTCCTGCCTCTCCCGGGAAAACCTGGGCCACCAGCTGCCACCTCGGCCCCGGGGACCCCCCAGCCACATCCCCCGTGTCCTGCCAGGTGGGCACCTCGCTGTGACAGCCCCATGCCCGGTATCGGGGTGCCCAGGGCCCCCCCACCCCAAAGTTCCCGGTGCTGGGCATCCCTGGGGGCTGTTCCCGGAGAGCTGGTAGAACTGGGGGGGGGGGATCTTTGGGGCCGGGGGGCACCATCAGACCCCCACGGGGAGCCCCGGAGGGCGCGGCCTCCGCACACACCCCCAGCGGGTCCCTCCGCGTGCGGGATGAGCAGGCTAATCCCACTCTAATCCCAGATTACGTGCCACGTGAGCCGCGGCCCAAAGCGGGCTGCGGCGTGGCCAGCGGGGCAGGGGGGCCGGGGCCGGACCCCCCCCAACCGGGAGCTTTGGGGTGAGGGCCGGGTATCCCCGCTCTAAACTTGTCTGAGGGCTCGGAGCCTCCCGGCAGCGCTGAGGGAGCGGGAGAGCGGGTGGGTTGGCCCAGATTCCTCGGAGGGGAGGAACCGAGGAGGTGGAAATGCCTCCTCTCCGTCTCCATCCGCCCCGGGATGGGGTGGGCGGGTTGCTGCTCCCCCAACCCGGCGAACTGAGGCTCGGAGCATCCCCGTGCCCGCCGCAGGACGCACCTTCCATCCCGGGGGTGGAAAAACCCCCGCGGCCAGGCGCTGCCAGCTGGTGGCTTTTAAGGCCACCGGGGTCCCCGAGCGGGGTGCAGTGGCACGGAAGCGATGGGCTGGGCTGTCGATAGGCACGGGGTCGCTCCCGCCGCCGGGAGATGCCCCGGCGGGGATGGAAAAGGGAGAAACAGGACAAAGGAGGAACCGGACACCGTTCGGCCGCGGGTCGGGGACCCACGTGCTCCCGTGGTCGCGATCAAGTTGCCGGTGGGGCCCCACGTGCGGCGGTGCCTCGGTTTTGCCCCGTTGGAGGATGCCCCGGGCCTCTCCCGGGCTGTGTTTGTTTGGGGTTTGTGTCGGGAGGAGGAGCAGGAGGAGGCCGGGGCTGGGCTGGGCTGGGCTGGGAAACACCGGACGCCGTTCCCAGGGCTGGCGGGAACCGTCTGTTCGGGGAACTTGTGACCCCGCGTGTCCCCCCCGCTTCCACCGCTGGCGGGGAGCCGGGGAGGCTGCGGGGACACCGGGGGGCTCCTGCCCCGCACCGCGACAAGGGCGAGGAAGGGAGGATGAGGAGGAGGGCGAGGGGAGGAAGGCTGGGGGGGGGTCCCTGCCCGCTCCTCCGCGGGCAGTGGGGGGGGTTCTCCCAGCCTGGCCCCTGGCCCAGGGCCGGGCACTGATGGCTTTGGCGGCTGCGAAAAGTCAAATCCGGATTTCCTCGGGGTGGGGAGGAGGGAACCGGCCTCTTCCCGCTGCAGCACAGCCCTCGCCACGGCCCCCCCAACCCGGGGACAGGAGGTGGGGGGGTGGACCAGCACCCCCACATCCCGGTGAGCCCCCTCCGGCGCGTGTCCTGTCTGTCTGTCCGTCCCTCCCTCCCTCCTCCACCACTCTTTCCCGTGACTCCCTGCCCAGCTCCTTTCCCTCCCCGCTCCGGCGATGCTCCCTGGGTACCCTCAGCATCGCCCTGGGAGGGGGGAACGGTGTGTCCCCCCCTCACCCTCCCCTCTTCCTCTCGCCCTCCTGGCCGGGAAAATCCCAAACACGCTTATCTCGGGAACACGCGGGGCACCTGCCAGCGGGCTTGCGGGGAGATTGGATGTTGCCATGGGGAGCGCGGCTGCCATCGGGGCGGTGGCTCCCTGCCTGCGCCAGATAAGATGTCCTCGCGTCCCCCAGCGCGGGGGGGGGGGACGGGACAGACACACACCGTGGCCGAGCTGGTTGTGCAGCCCTGGCACCCTTCGCCAGGTTTTTTGGCATCTCTCCGCACCCCCCGGCTCGGGGTTGTTTTTCCTTCCCCTCCGGCGTCCTCATCCAGCCATCCCCGCACCCCCTCCCGCCGCTCCCGCCGCTTCCTCCGCCATCGCATCCATCTGCTCGCTGCCACCGCGGCCCCGCCGGTGTCCCAAACGCCCCCGGGGGTGTGACCGGAGGCCGGGGGGCTGCCCTGGCCCTGCCGCTGGAAAGTGTGAGCTCATGGATGTGCCCGGACAATGCCGCCTTGTGCCGCGCTCGGGGCCCATCCCGTCCCACCGGCCCCCGGCGCTGCGGACCCCCGGGGGGGCTGGGAGGTGCTGGGGGTGGGGGTGAGAGGGTTAAAAGCCCTCTCCGGTGACGAATATGGGGGTCATTTGTGGCTGGGGGGGGGTGGATGGAGCTGCTGGCAGGGCCTCCTCGTGCTGGGCTGGACCCTCGTGCCGGCAGCGGGAGGATGCTCCCGGATTTCTCAGACCTGCTCCTTCTCCATCTCTGCATCCCACAAGGGGTGATTCGCCCGTCCTGGGGGCCGTGGGGCTGGGGGACAGCAGGGTTGGGGTCCCCAGAGGCGGTGACGCCCCCCAGCCCACGCCCAGGGTTGGGGTTCAGGGCCGGAGGGTTCCAGCACTGTTGTTGCCCGGCTCGCACGAGGCTTTTCCCAACTCCCTCCCCCCTCCGAGAGGAGAAGTTTTGAGGAGAATGGGGAATTTTCCCCTTTGTGTGCGCGGCATTGTGGGTGTAAAGCACAGGGAGGGCCGAGGCCCCGGGGGGCTGTGGGGGGCTGAGCACAGCACGCCCGTCCCGCTCCCGCTGGAGCCTTCTCGAGGCCGCCGGACAAAAGGGCGTCATTCCCGCTGCTCCCGCTTGCCAGCACCGTCAGCAGCCGCCAGGCAGCCGGCACGGGCAGGGGACACACGGCCGGGCACCGGGGTCCGCAGGGACAGCGGCGGGGATGAGGTGGAGCTCCACCTTCCTGTGAGTCACCGTCACCTCTCCCGTCTCCCTTGCAGAGGGAATATCCGAGCCCCAGCCCGGTGTCGGCGTCCAGAGGGATGTGGAGCCACAGAGGCAGCGGTGAGTGCCCCGCGCCTGTCCCCCCTGCCTGGGGGACAGTGGCACCCCCTGGGAAGCCTGTCCTGCTGCCAGCACAGCGATATTTGGCAGGGGGGGACGTACCAGCCTCCTGTCACCTCAGGGTTTGGTGTCTGGGGGGCTGCCCCATGGCAGGAGGGTGGTGGGACGTGGGTACCTCGCCCCTGACCAACATGGGGGTGCTCTGTGCCCACCCTGGCTGTGCCCCCAGCCCTCTACTGTCCCCACAGGACCCTGTGACTGACACAACCTCTCCTGCCCACAGCTGAATGGAAAGACTGCAGAAGGTAAGGGGGGGCCGTGGGCAGGGTCCTGGGGGATGTGGGCAGGGTGCTGGGGGTCCAGAAAGGGTGCTGGGGGTCCAGAAAGGGTGCTGGGGGTCCAAGCAGGGACTGGGAGTCCAGGACAGGGTGCTGGGGGTCCAGAAAGGGTGCTGGGGGTCCAGGACAGTGTGCTGTGGATCCAAGAAGGGGCTGGGGGTCCAGGACAGGGTGCTGGGGGTCCAGAAAGAATGCTGGAGTTCCAAGCAGGGACTGGGAGTCCAAGCAGGGGCTGGGGGTCCAGAAAGGGTGCTGGGGGTCCAAACAGGGGCTGGGGGTGCAGGACAGGGTGCTGGGGACATGCAGGCAGTGGCTGGTGGTCAAGGGCAGGGGCTGGTGGCCAAGGACATGTGGGAATGGGATGCCCTTAGCAGGGCTCTGCCTTCCTCCTCCTCCTCCTCCTCCTCCTCCTCCTCCCAGCCCAGCCTGGCAGCACCATCTAGTGGCAGCGTGTCCTGGCCAAGGCACTGTCCCCTGTCCCCAGAGGAGCAAAGGAGACCCCAGTGCCCAGCCAGAAATCCCCAAGGAATCTTTATCCCGGGGCACTGAGGTCCATGGGCACCATGGCTGTCCCCCGGCCCCCCTGCCACGCCCCGGGTTCCCAAACACAACCCTGAGCCCCTTCCTGGCCTAAAATGTCTCCTTTTCCATCCAGCAGCCACTGACCTCCCCTGGGAGCGTCTGTTCTTCCCGTGGATCCAGCGTTCCTGGATCGCCCTCCAGCATCGTGGTAAGAAGCCATTCCCACCTTCCCATCACATCCCTCCACCCGTGGGGACAGGAATGCGCCTCCTCAAACCCCTCCATCACCCTGGCAGGGCCATGTTCCCAAATATCCCCTTTCCGCTCTCCAAATGAAGGTGTTTTCCCTCCTTTCCAGGCCAAAATGGACAACGAGGTCCTGGGATACAAGGACCTGGCTGCCATCCCCAAGGACAAGGCGATCCTGGACATCGAGCGCCCCGACCTGATGATTTATGAACCCCATTTCACCTACTCGCTCATGGAGCACGTGGAGCTGCCCCGGAGCCGGGAGGTGAGGATGCCCCTGGGCCCCTGGCCCGTGTCCCCCGGGGTGTTTTTGGGGAAGGGGAGGGATCATGGAGGGGGGGGGAGGAATCCCAGCTGTGGGGCTGCCGGAATAAAGTGGAATAAAATGCTTCTTGCCTCCCTGCAGCGCTCCCTGTCTCCCAAATCCATCTCTCCCCCTCCGTCTCCGGAGGTGAGTAACGGCACCGCTTGGGGCTTGGGACGCAGGGGGCGGAATTCTGGGGAGGAGGAGGAGGAGGAGGAGGGGGCGATGCTGAATTCTGGGGAGGGGAGGTCTGGCTGATCGCTGCTCCCCCCTGTTTGCCCGCAGGTCATCCGGGAGTGGCTGGAGAGCCGGCAGCCCCCCACCAGCACCCCCGTGCCCGCCTCGCGCCAGGGCGGCTCCTCCACCCGCAGCAGCGTCCAGCACTTCCACCGACCCGGTACGACCCCCTGGCACCGGGACACCACCCACAGTGGGCCCCCCTGGCACTGCCAAACCCACCCTGGTGGTCCCTGCACACCCCTCGACCCCCCTTTTCTCCTTCCAGAGACCGACACGACGGAGCTCAACATATACAAGAAGCCCCCGATCTACCGGCAGAAAGGTGAGTGTGGGTGTTTGGGGGGGGTCTGTCCCGTGGGATGGGGCGCCCAAAAAGGCACTGCCTCAACCCCCCCCCTGCACCCCACAGACCACCATTCCAGCGCCCACCACGGGAAGCATCTCATCGAGGACTTGATCATCGAATCCTCCAAGTTCCCGGCGGCGCAGCCCCCCGACCCCAACCAGCCCGCCAAGATCGAGACCGACTACTGGCCGTGCCCCCCGTCCCTGGCCGTCGTGGGTAGGTGGGAATGGGGGGGTCTATCCCGCTCAGAGACCCCCGTGGGGTGCCGGGAAGGGCTCTGACACCCCCCCTGTGCCCGCAGAGACGGAGTGGAGGAGGCGGATGGCCTCCAAGAGAGGGGAGGAGGAGGACGAGGACCTGACGGAGGAGATGAAGAACCTGCGGGAGCTCCAGAAGCAGGAGCTGAGCAAGGTGAGGGGCAGAGCGGGCGGGCGGCACCTCGGGAGGGGCGGGGGGGTGTTGATGTTGCTCCCAACGCGCATTCCCTTCGTCCCCAGGTCACCTCCAACCTCGGGAAGCTGATCCTGAAGGAGGAGATGGAGAAATCTCTCCCGATCCGGAGAAAAACCCGCTCGCTGCCGGACCGGACGCCCTTCCACACGTGTACGTGGGGTGTTCATCCCACAGGCCGGCCCTTCCCTGCCTCACCCGCTGGCTCTGGCTGCCTGCACCCCTGCCCGTACCTCCTGCACTCCTGCCCATACCTCCTGCACCCCTGCCCGTACCTCCTGCACCCCTGTCTGCATCCCTGCCTGCCTCCCTACCTGTATTTCACACATCCCTGCCTGTTCTTCGGCATCCGTGCTTGCACCCCTGCCCGTACTTCCCAATCCCTACCTGTACCCCTGCCAGCTCCTGCATCCCTGCCTGCATCCCTGCCTGTACCTCCCACATTCCCATCTGCACCCCTGGCAGGTCCCACATCCCTGCCCATGCTTCCTACATCCCTGCCCATGCTTCCTACATCCCTGCCTGTACCTCCCGCATCCCTGCCAGCTCCCACATCCCTGCCTGCCTCTCCCACGTCCCTGCCTGCCTCTCCCATGCTCCTGCCAGCTCCCACCTCCCTACCTGCCCCCCTGACCGTGTCTCCTCTCTTCCAGCCCTGCACACGAGCTACAAGAGCTCCTCCCTGCCAGCCTCGGGCAGGAGCACCCTCACCCGGGTGAGTGGGCAGCAGCAGCGGCCCCCCCGCACTCCTGGGGTCATGCCCCACCCTGGACAGGCTCGGGGGGTGGCCCTGCTCTGACCCTGTCCCCTGTCCCCTGTCCCCCTGCAGCTGCAGTCAGCAGAGTTCGGCTCGGCGGGGAGCGAGAAGGGCAGTCCAGGTGAGGATCAGCCCATGGAATGGGGCTGATTTTTGGGAGAGGGGGTGTGGGGGAGTCCCAGGGGATGTGGGGGAGTCCCAGGGGATGTCCCAAGGACGTGGAGATGTCCTGGAAACGTTGGGCTGTCCCAGGGGATGTGTAGATGTGTGGGGGGATGTGGGGATGTCCCAGAGTTGTGGGTGAGTCCTGGGGGATGGGGGGGTGTCCCAGGGATGTGGGGATATTCTGGAGTTGTGGGGGTTTCCCAGGGGATGTGGGGATGTCCTGGAGTTGTGGGGATGTCCCAGGGATGTGGGGATGTCCCAGAGTTGTGGGGGTTTCCCAGGGGATATGGGGATGTCCGTGGGGATGTGGGGATGTCCTGGAGTTGCAGGGGCGTCCTGGGTGCCCAGATGTGGGAACGTCCCAGAGATTCATGGATGTCCTGGACATAGGGGGGTGTTCCAGGGGATGTGTGGACATCCCAGACATGTGGGGTTGTCCTGGGGGAATTGGGATGTTCGGGGGGGATGTGGGGATGTTCCAAGGGATTGGGAGTGCTGGGGCAACCCGGGGATCAGCAGAGGCTGGAGAACAACCTCTGGGGGCTTCTCGTCACCTGGGGGAGGGTGCTGGGGGGGTCACAACAGGGGTGCCCAGGGCTGAGCCCCGCTCCTCTGTGTTTGCCAGCCCTGCAGGTAAGAACTCACCTGGCTGCCAGGATGGAGACCCAGCGAGAGGGTGACGTATGATGGGATGGGGGGGGACACACCTGGGATACCTCTGGGACTGATCCCAGAGGGGACAGGGGCCAGCTGGAGGTGGGAGGGGGGCTGTACCATGCCAGGCTGGAGCCCACCACCTTGGCATCGGTTCAGGTGGGGGAGAGCAGCCCTTTGGGGAGGGGGGCCGGGCTGACACCAGGCTTTTGCCCCCCCCCAGAATGGCCAACGTGGGCGCATGGACAGAGGGAACTCCCTGCCCAGCATGTTGGAGCAGAAGGTGAGCGGGGCTGGGAGGGCCTTGGGGGGCTTGGACAGGGCTGGGAGGGGGCTGTGAGAAGGTCTTACAGCCGTGTGTGCCCCTCTTTCCCCCCACAGATCTACCCCTATGAGATGCTGATGGTGACGAACCGAGGGCGTGTGAAGCTGCCGCCCGGCGTGGACAGGACCAGGCTGGAGGTAGGGGCCGTGCCAGGGGTTTTTTGGGGGGGTGGGGGTGCAACGGGGGGGGTCCCTGCACCCCATCACCATCCCCTCTGCCCCCACACAGAGACACCTGTCCCCCGAGGATTTCCTGAAGGTCTTTGAGATGCCCCCGGAGGAGTTCAGCAAACTGGCCCTCTGGAAGCGCAACGAGCTGAAGAAGAAAGCCTTCCTCTTCTGAGCCCCGCCCGGCCCCGAGCCCAGTCCGTGTCGCGCCGTGTACCCGCTTTAGGGCTCTCAGCCGGTTTTTAGGGCCCCTTTCCCACACCCTCAGACCTGCCCCCCCCCCTCTCCTGGCCTCGCTCCTCCCGTGGGAAACGGGCTCGGGAGGGGCTCGAACCTGCCTGGCCACGGGGTGATGGGGCAGCCCCCGCCCCGGGGCAGGCACGGTTCAGCCAGGAGGGGTGGTTTGGGGGGGTCTCTGGGCTTTGTGCCCCCTTTTTTCCCCCCCTACACCCCTCCCGCGACCACTGGCAGGGGCAGTGCCCGGCTCTGCTCTCAGCCGGCCGGGAGCACGCTGGCTCCGGAGGGTGGGCACTGGATGGGGGGGGGTTTCCCTCCTCCCTGGGGGTCTGCTGCCTTCAACCCCCACAGCCTGGGTGCCCCTGTGCCCCCTGGGTGCCTCTGTGCCCCCTGGAGTGCCCCTCTCCCACCCTGAGACTTGGGAAGAGCCCGGGGGCCGACTCACTGCCAGACTGATGTTCTCCCGGGAAAAACCAGGCTGCCATCCCACCCTGCCCCACTCCAACCCCCCCCTCCCAATTTTGACACCCCCCCGGGTCCCTCCCGTGCCAGCTGCTTCAGCGAGGACCCCCAAGGACACTGCCAAACCCCCCTGGCACTGGGCAGGAGCGGGGCAGGGCTGGGAGGGGGGTGAGGGGGCACACCTGAGATGAATTTGGGGAGGGGGGGGTCTCAGTGGGACCCTGGGGCAGCTCCTGGTGCATTTCCATGGGCAGATGTGCCCACGGGGGGGGATGCACTGGGAGAGGGGGTACAGGAGGGGAAGGGGGGATGCACTGGGAGAGGGGGTACAGGAGGGGAGGGGGGGGATGCACTGGGGGCGTGCAGGGGGGCACTGGGGCGATGAACTGGGCAACGATGAACTGGGGCGATGGATCGGAGCAGGGCACGGCTCGATGGGCACCGCGGCCACCGGGGGGCTGGGCAGGGCATTGTCCCTGTCCCCACCACCCCCCCGTCGGCCGCGCAGGTAGGGCTCGGCACCGGGCAGCACCTCCCCTCCTCACACCCCTCCCCTCTCCCCGCACACGTTTTGGGCAGGACCCCTCTCCCCCCGCACCCCCCTTTTTCCCCCCACGCTCCCCGGTTTCTGTTTCCAGCCACTTTCCAGCCGCTAGACCTTGTTGGGATGTAAAGAATGTAATTTATCGGGAATTCACTGGCCCATACTTGCCTTTCACTGCTACAAACGACATATCTATAAATATATATATAAATATGGGTTGTTTTCGGACTGGACTACAGTGATTCACTTTCTCTGGTTTTTTGTTAGTTTATTTTATTTGCTGGTGTCGGAGAATCCGCGTGAGAGTGATTTTTTGCTTACAATTAAAGGTGAAATGGCTTTACCCGGCCCGGCTCCGCTGCTTTGCTTTCCCCCCCTCCCTCCCCGTTCCCCAAATCCCCCCAGACCCCCCGTCGTCCCCGAGCGCGGGTCCCTGCAGATGGCGATGGTGCTCCGAGGAGGATGCGGAGCCCTTCCCCGCCTTCCTCCCGCCCCGGCCGGGCTGTGCTGGGGGCCCTCAGGGCGTGTGCGAGCCGAGCCGGGCCGGGACAGCGCTGCCCCGGTCCCGGTCCCGATCCCAATCCCGGTCCCGATCCCAATCCTGATCCCGCCGCGATGTGAGCGCTCCCGCACCATGTCCCGGCAGAGAGGTACGGGGGGGGGCACAAAGCGATGCGGGGCTGAGGAGGGGAGGGGTACAAGCCTAAAAAAAGGGGGGGGAAAGAGGGTAGAGGGTGCGGGGGGCGCTGCGTGGGGGTGCCCACGCGTGTGCGGCCGGGCGTGGGGGTGCCCGGGGGGTGTGGAAGGGGAAAAAGGGTGCAAGAGAAGAAGGAGAGGGTGAAAAGGGGGCAGAGCGGGGGTTTGGGGTGGTGGAAGGTGCTGCAGGAAGGGTGCTGGGGGGGAAGGAGCAGGGACGAGGTGCCCCCCAGCACTGGGGTGCCACGGCAGGGAGGGGGGTGCCAGGGGTTTTTCCAGCGCCCTCCCAGGGGCAGTTTTGGGGGGCGCAGAGGCCGTGGGGGAGCGTCCCCGCCCTGGAGCCGTGGCCTGGAGCCTCCCCACATGACGGGTCACGCCGCGGGCAGGAGAGCTCGGGGCGGCCTCCAACCTCCTCTGAGTCATCCCGCGCTGGGCCAGAGCCACCCCCGGGGTCCCCCCGAGCCGCTGCCACCGCCTCTGCACCCCGCAGTGCCCCCGCGCACGGATCAAAATCCACGTGGACGCAGGGCGGAGGTGCCAGTCCCGAATTCCAGCCCTCTCATCCCCCCGGGGTGCGGGCATCACCCAGGCATCGAGCGCTCCCACGGCATCCCTTGGGCAAGCCCTCTCCTTCCTCCCCCTCCTGGCCTTCCTCCTCCTCCTCCCGCGAGGATGAGGATGCGGATGCCATGAGGATGAGGATGCCACCGTGCCGGGACACGTCCCGTGGGAGAGCAGGGAGCTTTGCTAGGAGACCACGCCGTGTTTTGGGTGGGGGGGAGGCGTTTTCCTCCCGCCCTGGAGACCGAGGCAGATGTTTTCCATCCCGACTGCCTTTCCCTTGGCACGGCACAGGCAGCTGGCACGAGGCCACGGCTGAGGGCAGCCCCTGCCTGCCCTGCACTGGCCTTGGGCACGGCCGGGCATGGATTCCCTGCCCCACCGAGGGGGGAGAGCCGTGAGGGGGGTGGGGGGGCTGCAGGGAGGGCAAAGGGGTGAGTGGACGGAGATGTCATTGCCGAGGAATTCGGCCTGGGCGGAGGAGAAGAGAGAGGGAGGGAGGGGCAAAGCCAGGCACTGCTGGGCAGGGGGGACAGTCCCCGTGTCCCCCACGCTGCACGTGGGTCCCTTCAGGCAGCCCCTGCTCTCCCCCTCCCACTCCAGGCTTTTCCTCCAGGGAGCTGGTCCCCCCCTTCCCTTCCCCAGTTTCCAGGGAAATCCAGATGTTTGGGCCCAGCTCCGGCATTGCTCAGCCTCACTGCACTGCCAGATGTTTCCTCTCCCCCCGGGCAGGGTGTGTGCTCCCAAACTGGGGACACTGAGAGGGGAAGGGGGTCCCCCTGTGCCAGCACCTCCCAGGAGGCTTCACCCTTGGCCCCTGTAATGCACGTGGGACTGGTGGGCTCCTTCCCCCACCTGCCCTTGCCTCCCCTGGGGGCTGGCACCTTCTTTGGGGTGCACTGCATCCCTGCTAGCCTGGAGAAATGTGGGATTCAGGGATATGGGATGTCGGGGTCACCTGGGGCACTGCGGGGGGTCACTGGGCAGTGTCCTGGCCGGCGGTGGTTTCGCTGGGATTGTCCCTGTTCCAGCTGGGAAATGTCAGGGGGACTCGAGGAGGGGCAGACCCTGTGCCAGGAGGTGGTGGGTTCCGGCAGCGGGTCTGGAACGTTTGATCCTAGCTGGGAGCAGGGAGCAGAGCCCGGAGCAGGGCCGTGCAAACCACTTCCAGCTGCTCGGCAGGACGGAGCCCGAGGGGAGCCAGGCAGTGACCTCGGGGCAGCTCAGAGGGCATCTACCCCTTCCTGTGTGAAGGTGCCCAGGGTGAAGGGGCTCTGTGGGAGTGGGACTGGGGGTGTTCCTGCATGTCCTGCCCTGCCATGTGCTCCCTCAGTGCAGGAAACACCTGCACGGAGCCCAGATCCCGAGCCGCCACCCTTGGGGGACAGAGGGGCCCTCTCCCTGTGCCCACAGCCCCCCATGTCTCCTCCACCTCGGGGGGCCGTGGGGGGGACACAGTACTGTCCATCCCACTGCACAGGCTGCAGGATTCCCATCTTCCCTGGCACAAAGCAGCTCCTTGTCCCGCTCCATCCCTCCTTCCTGGCACGGCAGAGTTGGGGTCCCTGGTGGGTGCTGAGCCCCGACCCCACTCCCTGCCCTCAGAGCGGGTAGTGGGGGAATGTTCAGCATTTCAGCCTTCATCAGCTGCTCCCACGTGCCAGGCCTCCTCCTCCTCATCCTCCTCTTCCTCCTCCTCTTCCTCTTCCTCCTCCTCCTCCGTGTGCCCAGCGCAGCCCCCAGGCCGTGGCTCCCCTCGCCCAGTCGGGAACAAACCGGCTCTGTGAGGGCACACAGAGGAGCCTTCATCCCCGCGGGTCCCCAGCCCCCCTCCTCATCCTCCCCCGTGCCCCTGGGCCTGTCAATAGTGGGATTGTGCAGGGCAGGGGCAGGTGCTGGAGCGGGGGCACGACCAGTGGGATGGGGCACGTCACCCTCTGGCATCGAGGAGCCCCTGCCCGCCCTCCTCTGGTGGCTGCGGTGGCACTTCCCTGCCCCTCGCAGACCTGGACAAGCTGCTGTCGGACCTGCGGTCCTTCCTGCTCATCCTGGACCGGGAGAGCCTCAGCGCCGCGGCTCGGGCCAAGAAAAAGTCGGTGTCCGACCTCCTGTCCCGGCTGCAGAGCCCCCCGTGTGAGTGCGGGGCCGGAGGGCGGGGGGAAGCCCCCGGTGGGTGCCCGGCGGGCAGCCGGGAAGGGCGCAGGGGCGGGGCTGTGACCGGGCGCTCCCCCCGCAGCAGAGGATGCAGAGTACATGATCATGCGCTGCCTCTCGCCCTCCCCGGGGACCCCGCAGGGCTGGACCGGCCCGGGTGAGTCCCGCGCTCCGACCCACCCTCCTTCTCCTCCGCGCACGGCTGGGGGTGCCCGACCCCTCTCCGCCCCACAGCGCCGCTGCCAGTCCCGCTTTTCCCCCCAGGATCCAGGACGGCGGATGCAGCGGGAGGGAGAGGCTGCGAGTGCCGCCCGGCCAGCGCCCCCAGCCTGCACGGAGGGGTAAGGGGGGCACTGGAGGACGATGGAGGGGCTGCGGGGGGCTCTGGCAGCGGCACGAGGGATGGCAGAGGGGCACTGGTGGCCATCCCTGCACTGAAACCTCACTCACGCGGGGGAGGGAAGGTCCCCGTGGTCCCACCCGCTTCAGGTGCCTCGAGGACACCGCGAGGTCCACGCGGGGGGGGCAGCACCTTTGGAGCACCCCTTCTCCCCCCAGAACAAGGTGCTGGGGGGTGTCTCACCGTCCCCACCGGCCGACGACTCGTACGAAGACGCGGAACCCCAGAACGGATGCTCCGGTGAGGCCCCCCCCGCACCCCCCGCCCAGCCCCGGCGTGCACCCACCCCCCTGACCCCGCCCCGGCCCGCAGGCGGGGCCGACACCGACAGCAGCCACTACGAGTCGTACGAGGAGGAGGAGGAGGGTGTGACGGACCGTGCCCACTACCTGAGGTGGCCGCTGGGCACCAGCCCCGAGGCCGAGTCCCCCGGGCGCCCCGAGGCCCAGCTCTGCGGCTTCCTCTGGAGGAAACGCTGGCTGGGACAGTGGGCGAAGCAGCTCTTCATCGTCCGGGAGCACGTGCTGCTGGTGAGGGGCTGGGGGAGGAGGAGGAGGGATGGGGGGGTGGGGGGGTGGATGGATGGAGGGATGGTGGATGGAGGGATGGGTGGGTGGATGGATGGAGGAATAGCTGGATGGAGGGGTGGGTGGATGGATGGAGGAATAGCTGGATGGGGGGGTGGGTGGATGGGTGGATGGATGAAGGGATGGATGGATGGAAGGATGGGTGGATGGATGGAAGGATGGGTGGATGGATGGTGGATGGGTGGATGGATGGTGGATGGGCAGATGGGTGGACAAATGGATGGATGGATGGATGGATGGATGGATGGATGGATGGATGGATGGATGGAGGTTGGGAGCAGGTCTCCACGCCCTGCTGACCCCCCGTGCCCCCGCAGTGCTTCAGGTGTGCCGCCGACCTGCAGCCGGTGCTGGAGCTGGACCTGCGGGGCTGCCGCGTCACCTACAAGGACAAGCGAGGCAAGAAGATGCCACACGCCCTGAAGGTGACAGGCACAGCAGGAGAGGTGCTGGTCATCGGCTTCCAGAGCCGGCAGCAGGCTGAGGACTGGAGGAAGGTTTGGAGGTGTTGCAGCCGGGCAGGAGCGGGGTGGGCAGGGAGAAACGGGGGCATGGCCCTGCTGGAGTGCTCCCGAGGGGGCTGGGGGTGATCCTGTCTGCTCCCAGCTCCCTTCCCGGGGGTGTTGGAGCCCTGTTGAGGGGGAGCAGGAGCCCGGGGTGCAGCGCTCCCCGTTTCCCTCGGCAGGTGATCGAGGAGGTCAGCAGCGATGCCCCCGGGGGGCTGGCAGCCCTCAGCGCCCCGGTGTCCCCTTCCTCGAGGCTCAGCAGGGTGAGCTTGTCCAGGGAGACCCGGGCACGGGAGAGGGCCAGGAGCACACCCAATTCCACGTCCTGGTGACCCTGCTGGGTGACACCAAGGAAGGGTTGGCTTGGGGAGGGAGTTGGGGGGTGGGGTGTGAAACCCGCAGAGTCGGGGCTCTCTGCACCCCTATTCTCAGCCTGCCGGCCCCCAGCTCGGCAGGGAGGAAGAGGAGGAGGAACAGGATCGCTCCCGGCAGAGCCCCACCCGCAGCCCACGGCCCAGCGAGGACACCAAAGGAGGTGGGGTGCGTGGGGAGGGGGTGAGGGGGGGTCCTGCCCCCCTCACAGTGCCGCTGACGGGGGGCTCCCGGCCCGCAGGGTTCCTGGCGGTGCGGCTGCGGGGCCGCTGGCAGCGGCTGTGGTGTGCCGTGCGCCAGGGAGCCCTGCGCATGTTCCCGGAGCCCGGCCCTGCCCAGCGCCCCGTCTGCGCCCTGCGCCTGGACGGCTGCGAGGTCTCCCCCGGGGCGGCCGCCGGATCCCCCCAGAACCTGCGCATCCGCATCGCCCAGCGGGGCCGGGAGCTCGCCCTGCTGCAGGTGAGGGGCGGCCACGGTGCCCTCACGTCCCTCCCTCCAAGGGGGGGGGCACGCACTGAGCCTGGACCCCCCTGCCCCACGCCAGGCCCGGTCGGATGAGGAGAGGGAAGCCTGGCTGAAGACCCTGCGGGCCAGGGGAGGAGGGGAGCCGGCGGGTGATGACGGACCCCACAGCAAGCCCCCCCGGCCTGGCGATGCCAGCAGCCACCCTGCTGCCAGGTAAGGAGCTTCTGGACGAGGCAGGGCCACCCCCAGCCCTCCTGCTGCTCTGCAGGGTGTGGGAACTAACGGGCCCCCTCTCCTGCTCGCAGCGGGCTGATGCTGCGCCGTGTGCCCACCCCCAACACCTACATGGATGACCCCTTTGGGCACCCCCCGCCAGCCGAGGCCCCCAAGCACCTCTACTCCAACGCAGAGCGGCTGCAGCAGCTGGTAACCTGCTCACGCCACCCCCGGGGTGGGGGGACGGGCTCCCACCGTCCTCTTGCCCGCGGGATTCTCCCATATTTCCTTCCACAGCAGCAGAGTTTGGACCGGGCAGTGCAAGGGCAGCGCAGGAGACCCGTGTCTGCACTGCCCACCTGTGCCAGCAGCAATGCCCTGGGCAGTGCCTGGCCCTCGCAGGCAGGTGAGAGGGGCTGGGTGCTCTTCCCAAGAGTGCAGCAGGGTCCTCCCTTGCACCCCATGCACCCCAATCCCAGGGGCTGGGGTGGGGGTTGTGGTGCCCATGAACGTGGTGTTGTGCCATGATTTCCCAGTCCTTAATCCTGTGCATCCTTCCCCTTCCCTTCCTCCCCAGCATCCTTCTTTCATTCCTCCCCAGCATCACTTCCCTGCTCTTCCTTCCCAGAATCCTTCCTTTTTCCATCCTCCCCAGCATCCCTCCTCTTCTCTTCCTCCCCAGCATCTTTTCCCTGGCCTTCCTCAGCAGAATCCTTCCTCTTCCCATCCTCCTGAGCATCCTTCCTCTTCCTTTCCTCCCCAGCACCCCCACCAGCTCCCCGGCGCAGAGCTCCCAGCCCACAGCAGGCAAAGGAGAACCCCAACCTCCGGAGCAGGGATCTTTCCCGATCCCAGCGCACCCTGACACTGCCCGAGAGGAAAGGGACTCGGGATGGGCTGGACATCCTCATTGGTAGGGTCACAGAGGGGCTCTGCCCTGCTGCCAGGGGCTGCCTGGTCCTTGTTGGAGCAACTGGCAGGGTCAAGGCGTGCCCGGGCTTGGCAGTGCTCCCACTGTCCTTGCAGGGAAGAGAGCCTTTCCCAAGCTGGAGGAGAAGGTGGGACAGCTGGAGAGGGCCTGCCGTGTGAAGGGCAGGCTGAAAGCCGGCTCCGAGATGAACCTCCTGGCCATCGGGAAGTCACTGAAGGGCCACATCGCTGCCACCGCCAGCTCGGCCGGCTCCGAGGTGGGGGACACGGGATGCAGGGAGAGCAAAGGGTTTTAGGGGGCTGCCCTCACCCTCTCTCCGCTGTTTTTCCATCAGGGATCATTCCTCAGGCCGCTGCTGAAACGCACCACGTCGGCGAGGAGCGCCCTGAAACCGCCCCCGTCGCCCGTCATCGTGGAGAAGGGGAACGTGAGGCAGAAGAGGAAGGTACCCCCGGGATCCAGGGGGGGTGGGAAGGGCTCAGGTGATCTCAGGGCACAGGGAGACGGGGGATTGACCGTTCCTGGGCCGCCCTCCAGGAGTGGGAGATGAAGTCTGCGATGTGACCCTGCCCGCCTGCAGACGGACCTGCCGGAGCGGGAGTGTCCCGGCTGCGCGTGGATCGTGCAGGACCGGCCTGGATTCAGCCTGGAATCTGAGTTTTATCCGTCCAGTATCAACGCTACCACTACGCACATCTATTTTTTATATATAGATATATAGATATATACATATCAAGCTCTCCCTCGGTGGGTTTCCAGCCTCTCCCTGCTGTGTTCCCGCCCGTCCCAGCACCTCGTTTTCGGGGTACAGAATTCCCAGGTACAACTTCCTGAGCTGCTGGCTCTGCCCCCAGTGTGGGTCCGGTACAAACTGTGCCTTGGCAGCGCCCCAGCCCCCCCGGACCCCCATTTAAAGGGATGGGTACGGATCCACCTCGGATCGAGCAGCTGGCGGGGCACACACACAGTTCAGGGGCATCCAGTTCTCCATTCCCTGGAGCTGGCAGGACCCAGGCTGGGCCCTGGGTGGTTTTCCAACAGCTGTGCTCCTCAGGGCTTGGTTTTCGTTGGAGAAATGGGGTTTTTTTGGGTTTTTGTTGGGTTTTTTTTTAAGGCTAAAAAAAAAAAAAAAAATATGTGGTAAAACGTGCGTTGTGCTGTGTGAAAGGGAGAGCTGGGGAAGGGGGATGTCCTTGTCCTTGTCCTTATCCCGGTGCGTTATGAGGGGTATCCCCACCCCAGTGCGGGGAAGGTTGTCCTTGTCCATCCCTATCCCAGTGCAAGGTGTGTGTGAGGTCCTTCCCTATCCCAGTGCGAGGTGTACACGGGGTTTATCCCTGTCCCTGTGCGAGCTGTGTGTGGGGTCCATCCCTATCCCTGTGCGAGGTGTGTGGGTTCCACCCCCATCCCAGAGCCCCGGGTCCGTCCCCCGCCGCGAGCTGCCCCGCGGGGCAGTTCCAGGGCTATGACACCTCCCCAACCCCAACCCCTCCTCTCCCCACCCTCCTCCAGTCCCGCCCCCTCCCCGTGTCCCCAATCCCGCCCCGATCCCGCCCATCCCGCCGGGAGCCGGAGCGGAGCCGCCGGGGGAGGGAGCGGGGCGGGGCCGGGAGTGGGGTCGGGGTTGGGGTCGGGGCCGGTCCCGGGGGTGGTCCCGGGGGTCCCAGCCATGCTGAGCCGTCTGGGAGCGCTGCTGCAGCAGGCGGTGGAGACGGTGAGGGGGACGCGGGGGGGGCCGGGAATGGGAACGGGACCGGGGGGGGGTTGTTCCGTGCGCCCCTGACCCCGGCCCCGGTGTGCGCAGCGGGAGCCCAGCGTGGACCTGCTGGAAGCCTTCACCGAGCACTGGAAAGGCATCACCGGCTACTACCTGGAGGCCACAGGTGAGGGGGGTGCGGGGACAGGGTCGCCGTGCCCCTATATGGGGTCCCTGTGCCCCGGGTTGGGGTCCCTGTACCCCAGGTTGGGGTCCCTGTGCCTCGGGTTGGGGTCTCTATGGTGTAGGAGTCAACTCCCTGTGGTGTGGGAACAGGGGTCTCGTGTCCCGGGAGAGGGTCCCTGTGCCCTAAAATAGGGTCCTGTGCCCTGGGAATGAGGTGCCTGTGCCCTGGGAGGGAACCCCGTGCCCTGGGAAAGGACCCCATGTCTTAGGACAGGGCTGTGTGTCCTGGGAGAGGGTTTCTGCGCCCTAAAATAGGGTCCTTGGCCTGGGAATAAGGTGCCCGGGGAGGGGGTCCCTGTGCCCTGGGACAGCACCCCGTGTCCTGGGACGGATCCCTGTGCCCTGGGACGGGACCCCGGTGCCCCGTGGCAGACCTGGCACGCGGGGCTTTGGCGTGGGACGCCCGTTCCCATTCCCCGGAAGGATTTCTCCACGCGGGGAGCTCTGCCCGGCCCGGCCCCAACCCCCGGCGCCCCAGCGGGGTCAGCACGGGGGGGTTCGGGTGGGTGCGGACACTCCCGGGAGCGCCGGACAGGCTGGGACACGTCCCCGCCGGGAACACGCCGCTCCCCGGGAGCGCTAAAGCGGGGCCTGCAGAGGCTTCAGCCCCGATTCCCAGCGGGATCTTGGCCCTTCCCGCTGTGCCGGGGCGGGGGGGTCTCCAGGGCTGGCAGTGCCCACCGGGAGAACGGGCAGCGGGATGTCCGGCACCTTCCTAGGCCGGGAGCGGAAGGAGCAGCTGCCGGCTCTCCATCCTCACATTGCCATCTAGCGTCATTCCCAGCCCGGGAGGAGCGGGATTCCGGGCCGGCAAAGGATCGGGGAGCCGCTGGAGAGCGTCCCAGCCGGGCATCGCTCCCTTTGCCACGTGCCCTGGGAGCGGGGCGGGGGGCACACGCCGCAGCCCCCCATCCCTGTGTCCACAGACGAGAGCATCCCGGCCAGGCAGACGGACATTCCCTGGCGCCTGAAGCAGATGTTGGATATCCTGGTGTACGAGGAGAAGCAGCAGCCGGCGGGGGAGACGGGGCCGTGCCTCGAGTACCTGCTCCAGCACAAGCTCCTGGAGACACTGGGCACGCTGGGAAAGGCCGAGGTGGGTGTCCCAGCGCCGGGAAAACGGCTCCAGGGGGAAGGAGCCCCCCCCAGAGCTGGAGTACTCGCAGTCTTTTCCAACTCCTTGATGTGGTGCCACTCAGTAATTTTGATTTTTGAGCGTTTTTACTGGAAGCGAGACTTTGTGAAGCGTGAGACGGTCGGGGGGCTTGGCTTTTTTGGGGGGGAAAACTTGGCTTTTTTCAGAGGGTTTTGGATTCCCCAATTTAAGATCCCCACTGGGATCCTTTCTGGGGCTCCTCTGAATGGCTCTTGCACCCCACCTCATCCCCATGTGCACAGAAAGGGGTTTTTTTTTGCACATCTGGCACATCACTGCTTGTGGGATGAGGAGGGTGCTTTGTGGGATGAGTAGGGTTTGTGGGATGAGGAGGGTTTGGAAAAGTAAATATTGCCCAAATATAATGGCTCTGCTGCTCCTTTATTGCTAATAATAATGAGGTCCCTATAAATAGATTTTTATTCAGGTGTAAGTGTGGTGTGGGCTGTGGAAACGTGCTGGCCTTTCTGTGCCTGTGAGGATTTGGGGTTTTGGGGTGCTGGGGTTTAACTCCCCATCGCTGGGAAAAGGGGAAATAATCCCCCAATGATTTTTCAGTGCAGAGGACTGAGTTAAACCCCTGATTGTTAAAGGGAGCCTGGGGCAGGTGGGATGTGCTGGGGGGGTCCGTGGGTCCTCCTGCATCATTTTGGGGCACCCCCCTGGGTGAGCCAGCGGGCGATTTGGGGCAGTTACAGGGAAATCGGGTAACTGGGCTCTGTCTGATTCCTCCCCGTGTCTCATTCCCAGTATCCCCCCGGGATGAGGCAGCAGGTCCTGCTGTTCTTCAGCCGGGTGCTGGGGCAGGTCCAGCACCCTCTCCTGCACTACCTCAACGTGCACAGGCCGGTGCAGGTGAGGTCCCATCCCTGGGCTGGCTGCATCCCTGCCAAACCCCCCCTGGGAAGCAGTGCCCATGGAGAGGGGGTGGGAGAGCCCCCAGAATTCCCGCATCCCTCTCTCCCTGCCTCCCCAGAAGCTGCTCCAGCTCAGCAGCGGCTGCCTGGGCTCGGGCACGGAGAAGGAGGAGGTGCAGTTCGCCGCCGTCCTCTGCTCCAAGATCCAGCAGGATCCCAGCCTGCTGCCGTATATCCTGGAGGTGAGCAGCCCCCCCCATGCCAGTGGGACAATTTGGGGTCCCCTTTTTGCAGCTGCAAAGCTTGGGGTGAGGAGGAGGAGGAGGAGGAGGAGGAGGAAGGTGGTGGCTCCTTCGCTGCTCCTCTTCCTCTCCAGGGAAAGAGCGTCCTGAACAGGAGGAGAGCCCAGGAGCTGCCGGACAGCCCCAGGGAAGAGGGTGTGGAGCATCCCCCGGGCACCACTGCCAGCTGCCCCCCAGCCCAGCCCTCCCCACCACAGAGGGACAGCAACCTCGTCACCGCCCTGGTGGGGCTGTGCAGGAGCAAGGTACAGGCAAACAGGGGTGGCACGAGGGGACGGTGGGCACTGCCAGCCATGTGAGGACCCCTCCCTCCTCCTCCTCTTCCTCGCAGAAGAGCCGTGTGGCGCTGAGGGCTCGGGAGAACCTGCTGGTGCTGGCAGGGCTGGCCCAGGAGGCGGCTGCTGCCTGCCTGGTGAGGAGCAGTGCCCTGTGCCCGCTGCTCACGGGGCACCTCTGCGAGCTGTACAGCGCCGTGCCCCCCGGCACCGACCCTGCCGACGTCCTCGCCATGGACAGGCCCAGCTGGAGGTGAGGGGGCGCTGGGAAGGGGAGCTCAGGGGTCACCAGGGTTTTGTCACAGCCCCCCCGTGCCCTCCATCCCGCACAGGTCGCAGGGGGACGCTGCTGGTGACGGGGTTTTCCCGGGGAAGGAGAGCCTGGCTGCCTTCCTGTGCTGGCTGGACTACCTGGATGAGCTGGTGATGGGAGCCCACCCGGTGAGAATCACAGGATCACGGAGTCAGCTTGGAAAAGACCTCTGAGGTCACCGAGTCCAACCTGTGACATGCCACCACCTTGTCCCCCAGCCCAGGGGGACACGTCCAGTCGTTCCTTGGGTACCTCCAGGGGTGGGGACCCCACCCCCTCCCTGGGCAGCCCCTTCCAACGTCCAACCACCCTTTCTGTGAAGAACTTCTTCCTAATATCCAACCTAAACCTCCCCTGGCACAGCTCAAGGCTGTGCCCTCTCATCCTGGGGGGTTCCCAAGCCCAGCCTCTCCCTCTCCCCCAGCTCGTGGCCGACGCCATCACCGAGGCCGTGGAGGAGAAGTTTTTCCAGGGCGTCCTGCAGCCACAGCTCCTGCAGATGTGAGTGTCTGAGGCTGTTCCTCTACCCAGGACCCCCCGGAGCCAGGAAACGAGGTCTCCTTTCCCCCTCTGGCAGGTCGGAGCTCGCCGTCCTGGGCGCCACGGCCGTGCTGGCGGGGACGGTGCGGCAGATCCGCGCCCCTGCCCTGCTCCAGCGCCTCGTGCTCTTCCTGCTGGGGCCGCACCGGCACCCCGAGACCCCCGGGGACGCCCCCCACGCCCTGCGAGCGCAGCTCATCGACCGCTGTGACCACCTCTCCGACGAGGTGAGCCCGTGGTGGGGGGGGGGAGAACGGGGAGGGGGCGGCGCCGGGGGAGGGTCTGGTCTCACCCCGTCCCGCCCTGCCCAGATCAGCCTGGCCAGCCTGCGGCTCTTCGAGGAGCTCCTGAGGAAGCCCCACGAGCACGTGGCTCACAACCTGGTGCTGAGGAACCTGGAGGCCAGGGCGTACCTGCAGCGACAGGAGCGCGGACCCCCCGAGGCGGACCCCGAGGAGGACGGGCTGTGAGAGGGGGGGAGCTGGGGCAGGATAAGGGGGGGGCAGCCCCTCAGTGCCCACCCCACTGACACCTCTGGGTGATGTCACCACCCCGCAGGGAGCTGGAGGAGGATCCCTATTTCACCGACGGATTCCCAGACACCGGCTTTGGGACAGCAAATAACCCTCCCCCGGGCTCAGCCCCGGCGGGGAAGGGGCAAGCGAGCGAGGTGGTCAGCAGGTAGGGCTTTGGAGGGGCTGCCCTGGCTCGAGGGGCGGGGGCTGTACCCCCCTCCCCATGCCCCTCTCTCTCCTCTCTTCCAGCTTCCTCTGCCTGGTGCCAGAGGAGGCAAAGACCTCCTCGTGCATGGAGGAGGGCGGCTATGACACCTACGTGCACGATGCCCTGGGCATGGTGGGTGCCTGGGGGGCTCCCCAGAGGGGTCCCCATCCCACTGCTGGTGGTCCCTGCTCATGGGGGGGCCCTGCTCCTGGGGGGGGTCCCCATCCCGCTGCTGGTGGTCCTTACTCTGTCTCCCACCTGCTGCCACCCCCCTGCCAGGTCCAGACGTGCCGTGCCACTGTGGCCCCGTGGGGGTGGCCCTCAGCCCCCCGACCCCTCGAGTGCTGCCACCCTGGAGGGGCGTTTTATGAAGGTCACTTCCTCAAGGTGCTGTTTGACAGGATGAGCCGGATCCTGGACCAGGTACGCCCTGGGTACCCCCAGGTGCCCACTGGGCTCTGCCCTTCCCCTTGGCACTGCCCCTGTCTCGGCTGGGGGGTGTTTGAGCACGGGGTGGTGCTGTGGCTTCACGTGGCTACTGCCAGCCCTATGCCCCCCCCAGGACCCCCATAATGGGGGCAAAGTGGCCAAGAGCATCAGGAGTGCTTGGTGGGGATGGGCTCAGGACCCACATCAGGGGCTGGGGGATGTTGGTGGAGGGGGGGCCAGCCCCTGCCCCAGTTCCTGAGCATTCCCCTTTTTCCATCCCAGCCCTACAGCCTGAACCTGCAGGTGACCTCGGTGCTGTCCCACCTGGCCGCCTTCCCCCACCCCCACCTCCACGAGTACCTGCTGGACCCCTACCTCAGCCTGGCCCCCGGCTGCCGCTCGCTCTTCTCCGTCCTCGTCAGGGTAACGTCACCCACCGTGCTGGGGGGGGACACGGGGACACCCCCCAACAACCCTAACCCTCTTTTCACCCCCCCCAGGTGATTGGGGACCTGATGCAGCGGCTCCAGCGGGTGCCCCAGGCCAGGGCCAAGCTGCTCCTGGTGCGCCGGCAGCTCCTGGGGCTGGTGCCCGGCGAGCAGTGAGTGCTGGGGGGGCACTGGGAGGGTGGGGGTGCCTTTTGGGGGGCAGAGCCTGTACCCCAGGGAACCCCCCTCTTTGCTCCTCTGCCCCCAGGATGGATCACACGGTGCTCTTCAAGGGCGTGGTGGTGCTGGAGGAGTTCTGCAAGGAGCTGGCTGCCATCGCCCTGGTCAAGGGGCCGCCAGAGGGGCCACCCTGAGCCCCCCTTGACCCCCCCCAATTCGGCTGGGCTGCGGTGGCCACTGGGGGTGGCCAAACCCCACGCTCTGGTAGCCTCCAGTGGCCCTGTCCTGACTGCCAAGAGCCAGGAACGGCCGTGGCGCGCCGGGAAGGACCTCGCAGGAGGAAGAGGAGCCACCGAGTCCTTCCTCAGCACCTCGGGGGTGACGCCACCTCCCCGTGCAGGATGTGGCCCCGCCGGGGGCGAGGTGACCGGTGCTGCGTGTCCTCCTGGGTGGTGGGTTCCTGCTCCCCCCAAACCTCCAGCAGGGATTTTTTTGGGGGGGGCAATAATGGGGTGTGTGGGGCAGTGCCTCCCCCCCGTCAGCTGCAAGGACTTGCTCGTCCTCCTCTGGTGCTGTGGCACAGGGGGGTGACACGTGTGACATGTGTGTGTGTTGGTGCTGGACCCTGGCACAGCACCTGCCCCTGGGTGATGGGACTCTGCTCTAATAAAGCTGTGAGCTCAGCACCACACACGCTGTGGCCCTGCCATCCCTTCCCAAACACCCCCCAAAATGCCCACTCCTGACTTTCCCCCCACCCCATATCCCACCTTGAACCACAGCCAGGTGGGTGGAAGCAGCAGCAGCAGCAGCAGCCAGATTTATTTTACCTGTGGTCCCAGCACCCCCAGACCACGACCTGCCCCAAAGCATCCACAAGCACATCCATCCCAGGGCTCCCACCTTCAGCAGGACCCCTGGATGCGTGTCCCGCTCAGACACCCCCCCTTGCCTTGCCCCATTCCCAAATCCAGGCTTCCCTGGCACTAACTACGGATGGGCACCGTGGCCCGGAGCCGCTGCAGGATGCGGCCCCTCAGCCCCTCGTCCTCCACGTGCCACCAGCGCAGCGCGGGGTCACACGGCTCGGGGGGCACATCCCCGCGGGTGCCCGGGGCGCTCAGCACCACGTTGAAGCAGATGCCATCAGCCCCCCCGGCCCCCCCAGCCCGGTGCTGCAGCCCCAGCAGCCCCAGGACCCCCGGCTGGGGGTCCCAGGGGGGGTCCCAGGGCAGGCAGTCCCGCAGCAGGCGCAGCGCGGGCCGGCACAGCCCCGCACGCAGCTCGGGGGGGGACGTGCCACAGGCCACCACGGGCAGGTGGGGGGTCCCAGCGGTGCCCAGCAGCACCCACAGGTCACCAGTGGTGCTGGTGAAGGGCAGCAGGAGGCGCAGGCAGAGGGGGGCACAGGGCAGCTGGCGGGGCAGGGTCGGGGGGTGCGGGGGGCTCCGGCGGTAGCGGGCGGCCAGGTCCAGCACGGGCAGGATGTCCAGGGAGCGCAGGGGCAGCGCTCGGGGGTCCCCCGACCACCACTGGGCCTGCAGGGACTCGGCGTCCGCCTCCTCGAGGGTCTTCAGGGTCCCACCTGAGGGCAGAGGGAGGGGCCTGGGATGGGGTGGGTGTGTGGGGGACAGCAGGACAGGCAGGGGGGTGGCAGTGCCTGGTGATGAGGGGGCTGGGGGGGGCAGTGAGACCCCCCTTGTGGGGCTGAGAGTGGACACTGATAGCCCAGAATAGAGTCGGGGGGATGCCAGTACTGGTGGCTGGTGGGGGCAGGGGACAGCGATGCCCTGGCACAAAGGTGGCAGGGGACACCAGTGACCTGGTACAGGCTGGCAGGGGACACAGGTGTCCATCATGGAGCTGGTAGGGGACAGGGATGGCCATCGTGGGGTTGGAAGGGGACACCAATGCTCTGCCACAGGGCAGGCAGGGGACAGGGACATCCATCATGGGGCTGGTAAGGGATGCCAATTCCCGTCGCAGGGGTGGCAGGGGACACAGGTGCCCATCGTGGTGATGGCAGTGCTCGTCACAGGGGCGGTAGGGGACAGGGACATCCATCGTGAGGCTGGCAGGGGAATGCCAATTCCCATCACAGGGCTGGCTGGGGTCACGGACACCCATCGCGGGGCTGGCAGGGGGCACACCATGCGCCCCCCCCACCCCGTGCCCTCGCAGCCCCCCGGGACTCACCCGCGGAGCGCGCCAGGAAGGCGAAGCGGATCCAGGCGGGGCCGCGCTCCTCCAGCGCCAGCAGCGTGACGGGCTCGCACTCCAGCCCCGACTCCTCCTTCACCTCCCTCCGCAGGGCCTCCACGACCCCCTCCCCGGGCTCCATCCTGCCCGCGGGCAGGTACCACCTCCCGCGGCACTCGGGCTTCGCCTCCTGCACCAGCAGCACCGCGCCCTGCGGGCACCGAGGGGCTCGCTGGGCACCGGCGGCTTTCGGGGGGCACCGAGGGTCCCCCCGGAGGGAATTGGGGCTGCCTCACCTCCTCGTTGAACAGCACGGCCAGCACCACGTAGCAGACGGTCCTGCCCAGGCTCACGGGCGCAGGGGGCGCGGGGGACCCCTCGAAGGTCGCCCCCACTTCCCAAGCGCCCCCGTCCAGCACCGCGTCCAGCTCCGCCGTCGGGGCGTCCCCCATGGGAAAGGCGGGAGGGGGGTGGTCCCGCGGCTGGATGGGGAGGGGGAGCACCCGCTCAGGGGGTGGCGGGGTTTTGGGGCGGGGAGGGAACCCCCCAGACGTGCAGGCGGGGGGACAAGGAGCCCCGGCGGCGCGTGGGCTGGAGGGGGCGGTGAGGGAGGGGGTCTGGCGATTGCGGGGTGCACGGCGGGGTGGGATGGGTGGTCCCGGAGGAGGGGAAGGGCCTGCTGGACTGCGGGATGGGGAGGGGGGTGTAGGTGGGGAAGGGTCTGCTGGGCTGGGGGGGCACGTAGCAAGGGAAGAGCTCGGTGGCCTTGGCGATGCAGGGCGGGGTGCAGAAGGGGAAGGGTCTGCTGGACTGGGGGACCCCCAGGGGGCTGTAGGGGGGCAGGTAGAAGGGGAAGGGGTCGCTAGGCTTGGGGAGCCGCGGGGGGCTGCGGTAGGGGAAGGGCTGGCTGGACTGGGGGAGACATGGGGGGGCACAGGCCGGGAAGGGCTGGCTGGACTGGGAGAGGGGGCACAGGGCGCTGGGAGGGAAGAGTTTGCAGGATTTGGGGAGTCGGGGGGGGCTGCGGTAGGAGAAGGGCTGGCTGGACTGCAGGATGCACGGGAAGCTGAAGGACGTGAAGGGCTGGCTGGACTGGGGGAGGCTGGGGGGAAAGGGCTGGCTGGACTGGAGGAGACTGGGGGGAAAGGGCTGGCTGGACTGGAAGATACTGGGCGGAAAAGGGTGGCTGGACTGGAAGATAGTGGGTGGAAAAGGCTGGCCTGACTGGAAGATACTGGGGGGAAAGGGCTGGCTGGACTGGGGGGTACTGGGGGGAAGGGGTCGGCTAGACTGGAGGACACTGGTGGGAGAAGGCTGGCTGGACTGGGGGATACTGGGGGGGTAGGGCCTGCTGGACTGGGGGATGCCGGGGCTGGGGTAGAAGAGGTCGCTGGGCTGGGGGGTGCCAGGGGGGCTGGAACTGGGAGGGGACTGGGGGTCCCAGGACAGGCGGGACTGCAGGGCACTGAGGGGGGAGGGCTGGTCCCAGTCTGGGGGGAATGGGAATGGGGTGGGGGGCAGCGGGGGGCAGGGGGGCGAGCTGGGCTGCAGGGTGCAATGGGGGGGGGCAGGAGGGGCTGGGGGGTGTGCTAGGGTTGGGGGGGTGGGGGGCTATAGGTGAAGGGTTGGGGGCCGCAATAAGGGTTTGGGGGCTGCAATAAGGGTTTGGGGGCTGCAATAAGGGTTAGGGGGGCTGCAATAGGAGAAGGGTTTGAGGGGCTGCAGGGAGCAATGAGGGAGGATGTTCGGGGGGGCTGCAATAAGGACGGGGGGGCTGCAATAAGGGTTTGGGGGGGAGCTGCAGGCTGCAATGGGGAGGATGTTTTGGGGGGGGCTGCAATAGAGGGAGGGCTCGGGGGGGGGTTGCAATCAGGGTCGGGGGGTTGCAATCAGGGTCGGGGGGTTGCAATAAGGGTTTGGGGGAGCTGCAGGGTGCAACGGGGAGGATGTTTTGGGGAAGCTGCAGGGGAGGCTACAATAGAGGGAGGGTCCGGGAGGGTTGCAGTCAGGGTCGAGGGGGGCTGCAGGGTGCAAGGAGGAGGATGTTTTTGGGGGGGCTGCAACAAGGGAATGGTTTCGGGGAGGCTGCAGGGTGCAACGCGCAGGATGTTTCGGGGCGGGCTGCAATAGGGGGAGGCTCTGAGGGGCTGCAGGCTGCAGCAGGGGAGGGTTTGCGGGGCTGCGGGTGCGGCGGGAGCGAGCCGGGGGTCGCGGGGAGGGTCCGGGGGTCGCGGGGAGGGCGCAGGGACCCCGCAGCCCCCCCCGCCCCGCGCATGCGCCGCGCACTCACCGCGCCGGGGGCTCCGCCGCGCGGGGCCCGCCCACCCCCTCGCCGCCCATTGGCCGCGCCGCCGCGGCTTCTCAATTTCTATTGGCTAATCCTGCCGTCACTCAGGCTGGGCGGGGCTTGGCTTTAAAGGGACCGCGCGAGCGCGTGGCGTCGTGCTAATTAATTAGGCGGCGCTAATTACACACTGGTCATCGCACGGTGGTCGTCGCACGGTGCACACTGCACTCCATGATACCCATTTCCCCATGCTGATTAATTGCCCGGTGCCAATTAATTGCCCTGCGCTAATTAACTGCCCCACGCTAATTAACTGCCCCGTGCTGGTTGCCCGGTGCGGTTTCAGCCTCCCTGATCCCAGTGGGATGGAGGGGGATGAGGGGGGATGCCGAAGTGACCCTGATGGGATGGAGGGGGGGAGATGCTGGTAGTGCCACTGGGAGCATCCCTGACCTTGTTGGGAGTGAAGGGAGATGCTGGTGGTGGCACTGGGAGCATCCCTGACATCACTGGGATTGAAGGGATATGCTGGTGGTGGCACTGGAACATCCCTGACCTCACTGGGATTGAAGGGATATGCTGGTGGTGCCACTGGAACATCCCTGACCTCACTGGGATTGAAGGGATATGCTGGTGGTGCCATGAGAGCATCCCTGACCCTGATGGGATGGAGGAGATATGAAGGGAGATGCCAAGATGGATGCTGGTGATGCTACCAAAGTACCCCTGACCCCGATGGGATGGCAGGAGATGCCAAGGGAGTTGCTGGTGATGCCTCTGGAGCATCCCTGACCTCATTGGGATGGAGACCCCAAGGCGGGTGCTGGTGGTGCCATAGGATCACCCCTGACCCTGATGGGATAGCGGGAGACACCAGGGCAGGTGTTGGTGATGCCACTGGAGCACCCCGACCCCAATGGGATGGAAGGGAGATGCTGGTGGTGCCACTGGAATATCCCCGACCCCAATGGGACAGGTGGTGGATGAAGAGAGATGCCAGGGTGGATGCTGGTGGTGCCACTGAATCATCCCTGACTGTCACAGAACGGATGAGGGATGAAAAGAGACATCAAGACAGTGCTGGTAGTGCCCCCAGAGCATCCCTGACCCCAGTGAGAAAGAAGGGGGATGAAGGCAGACCCCAAAGCAGTGCTGGTGGCGCCGGTGCCCCCGGCACACTGTGGACACTTTATTCCTCCTGCCCCGAGCCGTCCCGGGAGATCCTGGAGCAAAGCACCAAGCTGGAAGTGCCTGCTCCCGGCTCCCTGGGGGTCCAGGCCCACATCCAGCCCCCATCCCAGGCTTGTCAGAGCGTCCTTCCAGCGTTCCACGGGCTCACTTGCAGCCCCGCAGGACCCCCAGCGCCTCCCGCACGGCAGCGAAGATCATCCCGTCCAGCTGCAGGGGGTGCAAAGGGGGGGGTCAGCACCGCTCACCCCCTCCGGGAACCCCCCCCCCCACACACACACACCCAGACCACCCACCTGGGCATGGAGCTGGCGTGTGGTCCCGGTGGGATCGGGGCCGAGCAGCCGGAGGCGGGCGGAGCTCTCCGGGGACAGGAACCGCTGCTCCACGCTGATGGTGCCCGTCAGGCTCTGCACCTGCACCAGGGGGGCATCAGGGGCTCGCCCTGCCTCGGTTTCCACATGGGGGGGTGGCACAGCCCCCCCCCCCCAGAGGGGGGTTCGGGGCTGCCTACCTGGTGGGGAGCCCCCGCGGGGACCAGCACGGCGTCCCCCAGGCACTGGAGGAGGGTCCAGCCGCTCACCCCGCACTCCTCCCGCAGCCGCCTCCGCAGCGCCGCGTCCAGGTAACGCCCGGGGGGGTCCAGGGAGCGCCCGGGGGGCTCCCCCGTGGCTGCCCCCTCCTGCCCCGGCTCCTCGGATGCCTGTGGGGTGCCAGGGGTGAGCAGAGCTGGAAAGGGGGGGGTCCGGAGCGGGACAAGAGATGCTCCAGTGGCACCACAAGCCCCCATCTCGGGGTCTCCATCTCCCCTGCATCCCACCAGGGTCGGGGGTGATCCAATGGCACCACTCGAGGCGGGGTGGGCAGCAGGGGAGGGGGTGCTCTGGTCGCCCCAGGACTGACCTTGCTCAGGAAATCCCGGATCCGGGGGGCGTCCTCGGCACGGAAGATGTGCCACAGTGCCCCGGGCCGGCCGCCGGTGTCCTTGAGCCGCTCCCTCAGCGCCGCATCCATGTCATCCGTGTCGCCGGGCAGGAGCACCTCTGCGGGCAGAGGGGGGGCTCAGGGAGGGCTCAAGGGGGGTGGTGTGGTGTGGGGGGACCCCCGGTGCTCCCCCCCGTACCCCGCGGTGCCGCCGCCGCGTGAACCAGGATGTTGATGGAATCGGCAGCTTCCACCACCAGGTTTTTGGTCCCGACGTTCCGGTCCGGCGGGTGCACACCTGGAAGCGGGAGCGGGGCGCTGGGTGAGCATCGAGCGTCCCTGTGGGAGGGGGGGGCCCAGGTGCCCCCCAAAGCCCCCGTACCACGCTCACCATAGGCTGCACAGACACGTGGGCGCAGCCAGCGCCGGCCCCGCTGGCCCCGCAGGTGGGTGGCCAGGTTGAGGCGGCCGCTGGCCCCGCAGTACTCGGGCAGGGGCAGGCTGGCACGCAGGTTGGTGGTCCTGTGGCACAGGGCGAGTGTTTGACACCGGGGCACCAAGGTACAGGTGAAGGCAGAGCCGCCCTGCTGCCCCCAGCGCTGGCGTGGGGAGGTCAGGGAGGGGGCGACCCACCCTCTGCCAACACCTACCGGCTCAGCTCCTTGTCCCCAAAGCCACTCTCCAGCTTCAGCAAGTCCCCAGCGCCCTGTTCCTGCTCTGGGGATGCTGCGGGAGGGAGCCCAGCATCACACACAGGGATGGAAGGGGAGGAGCACAGCCTGGCTCCCCTCACACCTCACCCCAAAATCACCCTGGGCACCCCACAGACTCATCACCCCGGCTCCCCTCACACCTCACCCCAAAATCAGCCCGGGCACCCCACAGACTCATGGCCCTGCTCACCCGTACTGGCAGGGAAGCCATCCCAGAACTCCCGGCTGCTCAGGCGGACGCGGTTCGCCGGCGCCCGCAGGTTCACCACCTCCACCTCCTGCTCCCCCCGGGGTGGGCGGAACGACTCCGGCCCCCAGAGCCGCCCCTCCAGCCTCTTCTGCAGCCCTGAAACCAGCACGGGCTGCCAGGGCAGCCGGGGCTCAGCAGGGCTGGGGGGATCCCGGGTGTCCCCACACCCCCCCAGGGATGGGGGGCTCACCTGGCCCTGCCGCCAGTGCTCCTGGAAGAGTTTGTAGTTGCTGGCGTGGCCGGGGTCGTGCAGCCAGAGCAGCCCGCTGGGCTCCAGGATGCAGTGGGACGCGGGGGGCTCGGGGGGGCTGGGTGGGCTCAGCTCACCCCCCGCCTGCCTCTCCTGGATCTTCCTCTCCACCACGTGGGCGATGATGCTGTCCAGGATGCTGGTCAGGCGGTTGTCCTGGAAGGGGGGGGGATGCAAATGGGGAGCACCTCAGCCCACTCTGGCCCCCCCCAGCCCCGCCCAAGGTGGGGTGGGCAGCACGGGAGGGGGTGCCCTGGTCGCCCCGGGACTCACGCTGGGCAGGGTGGGCACCACGGGGGCGAAGGCCATGCGCACCCCGTCCTGCCCCAGGCACAGCTTCACGGCGGTGGAGGCCAGCAGGTCGCACAGGGTGGTGGTCTGCACGGCCCCCCGCGCCGGGGGCTGCCCCGGCGATGGCAGCCCCCCCTCGGGGCTCTCTGCTTGGGGGGGTGGGGGGGAGAACACGGTCAGGGTCGCCCATGCCGCCCTCTGCATCTCACCCCCCTTATCCAGCACCCCGAGAAGGGGAGGGGGTGCAGCATCCCTGACCCCCCCGGGGCGGGGCCGTGCCCGCGGCGGGGGGGTCGCAGCCGGCCCTACCTTCCTTGATGGGCCGGGAGGTGTCGGCTTGGCCGTGGCTGGGGGGTGGCAGGGTGGGCACCGCGGCCCCCGGTGGCTCCTGGAACACCCGTGTGGGCGTCAGGGGGGAGCCACATCCCCCCCTACCCCCCCTGTGCAGGGGTTGGAGTGCACCTGCACCCTTTTTCCCCCCCCCATCTGCAGGTCCCCCCGTACCTGCCTGCCCGGGGGCTCGGCCGGGCTCTGCTCCGCAGCCCCTTCCCCGCAGGAACAGTGGGACTCGATGCCAAACTTGGCCCTGACCTCGTGCAGAAGCTTCCAGAGCCTGGTCAGGACTGGGGACAACGAGGACAGGGGTGTCAGCCCCCCTACAGCGGGTGGGGGGAAGGTCCCGGGGCTGGGGGACACACTCACCACAGGTGGGGACAAACTGTGTGGGGACCAGGGCCGTGACGGGGTGCTCTGGCCCGGGGGTGCACTCGGGCGGCTCTGCTGGACCCTCTGCGTCAGAGAGAGGGTGTGTTCGTCCCCACCGAGCCCCCCTGCCAAGGGCTGGCACCCCCTTTTCATCCTTATCCCCCTTCCCACGTACCGGGGCCGTTGGCCTCCCTCCTGCCGCGGTGGCAGGCGGGGCACAGCTGGAAGCCACATCTGGCGCAGCTCCAGTGGGAGTTGAAGAAGCCGCGCTGGCAGGCGTCGCAGAGCTGGGGGGCTCCTTCCCCCCGCCTCCAGGACGTCACCCCTGGGGGGAAGCACGGCCTCAGCCTCCCCAGTGTGCGCCCAGTGTCCCCCAGTGTCCCCCCCATCCCAGTCCCCCCTTACCCTCGGGCCCGCCGGGGGCTCCCGGCCACGCGTCCCTGTCCCTGTGGACGGCGTCGCAGAAGGGGTCCCCCAGGACCCTCAGGAGGTACTTGGCCAGGCAGAGGCTGCTCCCCACACTCCTGCCCCCCGGCTCGGGGCCGGGTTCCTCTGGCAGCTCCCCCTCGGCCTCCCCCAGGGTGCAGAGGCCGTCGACGCTCAGCTCCCCATTGTCCCCCAGGGCGAACCTGCAGGGAGAGAGGGGGCGGGAGAGGGGCTCAGAAATGGGGTGATGAGACGGGAGGTTAAAAATTGGGGTGATGGGAGAGGGTCCTCAAAGGTGGGAGGGGATTCTCTAAAGTGGGGTGACAGGAGAGGACAGTGTGAAGAGGTGAGAGGGGACGGTGTAAAGTGGGGACGCTCCGAAATAGGGTGATGGGAGAGGGTGTTCTGAAGCGGGGTGACGAGACAGGACGCTCTCAAGTGATGGGAATGATGGGGAGAGTGCCCCAAGGCGGGGTGGCAGGAGAGGTGGCTGCAAAGAGGGGTGAAGGGAGGGGATGCTTCAAAGAGGAGACGTTAAAAAGTGGGGTAACGGAAGGGGATGCTCCGAAACGGGGTGATGGGAGGGGATGCTCCATGGGCCCCCCACCCGTGAGCTGCCCAGGAGCCCCAGGCTCACCTGCGGAAGTGCAGCAGCCTGCAGGTGCTCTCAGGGGGCTCTTCCTCCTCCTCCTCCTCGCCCTGAGGGTCCCCCGTGGCCCGGGGGGCACAGGCACAGCAGCGGGGGATGCCCGGGGGCAGCGCAGTGCAGGGCAGGCTCTGCAGGCACCACGGCTCCTGCCGGCTCGGTGGCTCTGGGGGACACAGGGAGTGCTTGGGGACACTGTGGAGCCCCATTCACACCAGCCAGGAGGGACTGGGAGCGTCCAAGGCCAGGATGGACGGGGCTTGGGGCACCCTGGTCTGGTGGAAGGTGTCCCTGCCCATGGCAAGGGGTTGGAACAAGATGGTCTGTAAGGTCCCTTCCAACCCAAGCCGCTCCAGGATTGTGGGACTCTGGGACGGTCACGCTGCGGCGGGGGCTGGAAACTGGGCCAGAAAGTAGGGCTGGAAAGTAGGGCTGGAGCTCAGCAGAGGTTAGGGCTGAGACGCCAACTCCTCCCCGGGGAGTCACTGACCCAGTGATGGTACTTCCACCCCTCGGGCATCCCACCTGAGGGTGCCACGCTGCCCCAAAGGAACATTTCCACCCCCCTGGGCATCCCACCCGAGGGTGCCACGCTGCCCCAGAGGAGTGTTTCCATCCATTCCTGCCCTGGGAATCGCTGCCAGCCTCAAGCCGTGCCAGGGAAAGCCCCAGCTCAGCGGCCTTCCCAGCCCTCACGTGTTCCCAGCTCGTGTTGTGGGCGCCAGGAACAGGGATGGAACGTTCCCTGTGGGATTGGGTGATGCCACCACCCTCTCACCAGCCCCACCGGGCACCCTCCTTCCTTACCTCCCTCTCCCAGCTCCATCCTCCTCTCCTCGGGGTCCCCTCGGCTCTCTGTGCCCTCCCCAGGGCACACGGTGGCCTTCGTGCCCCTCTTGGCCGCCCCGGCGCCCTCGCTGGCAGCTCGGGGTCCCTCGGCGGTGCCATGGGGGCGTTTGGCCAAGCGTTTGCCCTCCCCGGGGGGCTCGGGACCCCCGTCCCGCCGGGCAGCCTTGAGGCGAGGCAGCGACTGCTCCGAGTGCCGCGTCAGCCACGTCTTCTTCAGCTTGGTGTGGTTGCTGGGGGGGCACGGGAAACGCCCCCCGGGCATCCCCAGGGCAGGTTCGAAGGGGTTGGGCACCCTGCAGCCCACCCCCGGGCACCCATCGCAGCCCGGGGTGGGGCAGAGACAGGCTGGGGGGGGCTCCGGCTTGGCGGGAGCCGGTGGGTAGTGCCCGTCCGCGAGCAGAGGCGACGGGTTGGACTCCCTGGATCCCGGTGGCGAGCCGGGCTGGAGGCTTTGGTACCCCAGGCGCTCATCTTTGGGCTCCGAGGGCCGTCCTGGCCCCGTTTCCATGGAAAAATCGGCGCCGTGGGGCCGTGCGCCCACCCAGGGACCCCCGCAGCCCCCCGCGCCGGGCTGCAGGAGGAAGAGGGGGTGGCTGGCGCTGGGGGGAGGCGTGCGGGCGTGGGCAGCGGGCACCGCCGAGCTGCCCCCGGCTCGGCCATCCCTCCACGGGGCTCCCGGCGGCTCCGGCCCCGCCGGCTCCCCCTCCCCGTCTCTGTCCTGCCCTGCCTGGCCCTTGCCCAGCAGCTGCGGCGCCGCGTGGTCCTTGGCGGGGGGGTGGAAACCGGGTTCTTTCTTCGGGTAAAACTCCTGCAAAGGGAGCAGAGGGGGGTTGGTGTCACCCCGGCTGTGGGTCCCTGTCGCTGCCTGTCACCCGCGTCGCTGCGGAGCGGGGGGGTGACGGGGAACATCCCGTGGCCCTGCCTCAGTTTCCCCACCGAGGCTGCCCCGGCGCTTCCCCGTCGCCGGCGGTGGGGTGATGGGGGTGCCTGTGTGTTCTCCCCCCGCCCCGCGGCAGCGTGGGAAAGGAATGGGGAGCCGCAGCGGCACGGGGTGCGACGGGCGCACCCAGGGCTGGCAGCGCTGCCTCCCGCCGCCCCCGCCGGCTCCTGCCGCCGTGACTCAGCCCCGGGGGTGGCATCACCCGCGGGGACACCGCGGAGCAGAGCATCACCCCCCCAGGGGCGTGTCACCCCAGTCCTCGGGGGGGGGGACTGGGACCCCCCTGGCGAGCTGCAGGAGAGAAGGGGGGGTGCCTTGCCCTCTTGGGGGGGCTGCCCGGCCCTGCCCTGGGTGCGGGTGCCAGCGCGGCCTTTCGCAACGCTCCGCTCCCGGCCGGGTTCAGGCGAGGCTGGAGCCCGCTGCCACCCGGGGACCCCCGACCATCCACGCTCTCCGGGGCGTCCTACCTTGTTCCCTGAGCTGGAGCAGTCGTCGAAGGGGGTCAGGGCCGCCTTGCACCTCGGCGGGACCCCCAGGTAGAGGGGCTGTCCCCAGGCGGGCGCGTAGGAGCCCAGGCGCCAGTCCACGCCGCCGAACCGCCCGTCCCCCATCGCCCCCGGCGCCTCCGCCCCCGCGCCGCCGAACGGGGGGTCGGCCGGGGGGCCGGCGGGCAGCAGCGAGGACAGGAGGAAGGGGCTGTGCTTGGCCTCCACGAGGAAGGGGCAGTGGCGGAAAGCCGGGGGGTCTCCGGCCGTGTCCCCCGCGGCCGTTCGGGGCTTGCCGGCGGCGCTGGGGCGCTGAGGGTCCAGCCCCGGCACGGGCAGGGGGTAGCGGTGGTACGCGTGGCTGTAGAGGGCCAGGGGGGCCAGCACGGCCTCGGCCCACCGCGACCCAGGGTGGTCCTTGCAGGGCTCCCCCCAGCCCGCCTTGGGCTGCCCGTTCCTGGGGGGCAGCAGCGGGGGCAGCTCGGCCCCGTCCTTGGGGAGGCACAGGGCGTCCCGCAGGCACGGTGGGGCCGGGGGGTAGGGACAGCCCAGCCGGCCCCCGGCGAGCTCCCGGACGGGTCCCAAACATCCCTCGGAGCCCCTCCAGGGACACCCTTTCTCCATCCCGTAGCTCAGCTTGCCGGGCTCCGCGTAGCCCGGGAGTCCCAGCTCGGCGGCAGCGCTTCGGGATAAGACCATCCCGCTGCTCTCCATCCCCCGGGAGTCCTGCGCTGCGTCCGGGGCTCTCCTCCACCGCGGCGGGGTCTCCCCCATCCTCGCGTCGCTGGCCATGCTGCTCCCACACTCATGTGGTGCTCAGCGCCGTCCCGGGCTGGCCGGACCCTGCGGGCAGAGAGGGGCATCAGCGGGGCACTGCACCGAGCCCTGCCCGGGCAGCGCCGCGGGGAAACCGAGGCACGGGGATGGTTGGGGGTGTCGCTGGGGGGGCTGCTTTCAACCCCCCGGCTCCCCCGCGCCGTGTGAGATGGGAATCTCCCCGGCATGGCGAACGGGGGGGATCCCTGGCTCTCGTGTGCCCCGCGGCATCCGTCGGGAAGCACGACCCGGGAGGGGAGGGCACATGTCTGGAGTGTGTGTATTCGCCGTCCCGTCCGGTCCCTCCTGCGCCCATCCTGGCGTGGCTGGAGGCCGGGACGCTCCTCGCGCCCACCCGTCCCTCCGCACCCAGCCTGGCCCCGCGCCCGGCCGCTGGCACCCAGCGTGGGGAGGCCGTGCCCCGCGCAGGTATTTGCCTCCGGCCAGGGCTGGGCTGCGCTTCCCAGGAGGGCTTCCAGAGAAGGGGGAGCTCCCCGCTCCCAGGGGCCCCTCCTGGGAGAAATGCCTGGGGAGATTTTGCTGGATTAACCCTCCTCCGGGACCCGGGCCACACGCAGGCGCGGGGTGCAGAGCCAGAGCTCGCGGCGTTGGCGGTGGCATCCCTTCCCCCTGTCCCCCTGTGCCCCTGTGCCCCTCCCTGCCCGGCAGCCGGGACAGCCAAGGGGGACAAGCACGAGGTCACCCAGCTCCCAGTGCCACTGCGGGGTGGGACGGAGCCGCCCCCATGGCCGGGATGGGGACAGGAGTGGGATGAGGACAGGAACAAGGTGGGGACAGGAGCAGGGTGGGGACAGAAGTTTGTGTCCCAAGAGCCGCCTGTCCCCGTCACATCCTCTGCCAAGGGAGGGCAAAGTCCCCATTCCCACACTGCTGGAGAAGCATCCTGGAGCACCCTGTCCGAGCCGGGGCACCCTGGGCCACAGGGACACCCTGGGGACACCCACCCTGCCCCTCCAAGGGGCAGGACCCAGCCAGGCTCTCCCATCCAGCCCCACTCCAGGACTCTGCTCCCAGCCTTGCCCCTGGTGTCCCAAGGCTGCCCCACCACAGGTCACCCCTGGGGTCCTCCCAGCTCCCCCAGGGTCCCCAGGGTGACATTGTCCCCTGTCCTTCATCCCATCAGGAGCACAAGGAGCCCGTCGAGCATCCCCTCCACCCCACAGCTACCTGGAGGGTCCATCAGGGACCCCACGGCCGAGGACGAGCGGGTGTCTCTGCCGATGACACCAAATCCCAGAGAGGCAAGGCCGGGAGGGTGGGAGCACCTAAACCCACAGGCTGAAGGGGTCTGGCTCCGGGATCTGGAGGAGGCAGAAAGCCGCCTGGGCAGCCCTGGGGATGTTCTTCTCCGAATGCTGGAGCTGGAGTTTTTGATCCATTGGCTTGGGGGGCTCCGTGCTCCTCCTGCCTATTGTCCTACGAGCTGGGGGTCTCGCTGGGCTGGGATTCAGGGAGAGGGGTATCCAGGGAGCAGCACGAGTGGGACCTTCCCCTCAGCTCTGGGCAGCGCTGAGCATGACAGCAGGACGAGGCAGTGGCTCCGCTCCCCGCGATCCGCAGCCTCCGCCGGCTCCGGCAGCGACTGGGCGGGCGGGAGGGAGGGATGCTGGGGCTGCTGACGCCCGGGAACCGGGAATCGGCGTGGTGCCGGCGGTGCCGCCCAGCCCCGGGGGCACCGGCGGCGGTGCCAAGGCAGGGCAGGTGTGCTCTGCCCCGTGCGGGTGAAGAAAGCGCCCTTTGTTCGGCGGTTCCGCCCCGTCACCGCTGAAAGGCTCCAGCCGCCCCGCTCCGGGCCGAACTGGAATGGGAGAAACACCGGGATGGGCCAAACTCCCCCTGCCCTGGTGCTGGGGGGGGGCTGGTGGTGGCGCGCCTGGCATGGAGCATGTGGCCACCCCATGGGATGTGAGCCCCTGGGACCCCCAACCCCTTTGTTCTTGCCCAAATAGCAGAGATCTGGCCTCAAGCCGTGCTGCCACCTTCATCCAGAGCCTTGTCCATCCCTGCTCCGGCTGCCTGGGATGAAGGCAGAGCTCCTCTGCCTCCCTGCAGACCCCCAGGTGGGAAGAGCAGGATGTGCTCCAAGGGGTGCAGAGGGGCTTTGTGGAGCACCAGGATGCTGTGGCAGCATCCCTGTGGTGCCATCCTGCTGAGGGATGGGAAGAGAGTACCCAGGGGGCCACTTACCCCCTACTCTGCAGCCCACCAGGATCACTCCCATCCCAGCCATGCCCTGCAGCCCACCAGGATCACACCTATCCCTGCAGCCCACCAGGATCACACCTATCCCTGCAGCCCACCAGGATCACACCTATCCCTGCTGCCCACCAGGATCACGCCCATCCCAGCCATGCCCTGGCAAAAACCAGTGCCCTGTGGGTGCTCTCTGCACCATTCCCAGCACTGAGACCCCTCAGCACTGAGACACCCCGACCCCAAACCCACCAGCTCCCACGGCCCACTCCTTCCAAGCGACTCTCTGGCCCTGTAGAGGGGGGAGCAGGTCCAGGGGGTTCCCCCGGGTGGACCCCCCGTTCCTGGGCTCCCGCTGATGTGGTGCTGATGGCAGCAGTGCCGTGCAGGTTTATATAACGTGTGTGTGTCCCGGGGACACGCACTCCTTACATAAACTGCATCCCTGCTCACGGCTCCCCTGGAATGGCCGGGCACGGCTCAGCACGGGGGGCTGGGGGCGCAGGGGAGGGGGGTGAGGGCAGGCCAGGGCCCACGGGAGCCCGGCAGGGTGACGAACAGCAGAGCACAGGCGGCCTCCTGTCTCAGCAGCAGCTTCCTTGCAGTCCGGCCCCGCTGGGAGCCGGGGTTAACCCTTGCTGGACGTGGCTTGAGGGACTGGCCACCACCGGGGGCATTTGGCCGTGCCAGCGGGCGTTTGGGTGGCCCCATCCCACCACCAGCGTGGGTCAACCCACAGCAGCACCCCCGGAGCCCCGCTTGCCGTGGAGGGGAGGGTTTGGGGGTGCTGCTCACTGCACCCACTGGGTGCCAGGGAACAGGGAGGGGACCCAGACAGGGCTCGGGGCGAGGGAGAGCCCGCGCCTGCCTGCGATGAGAAGGTGCTGAAAGACAAACTCTTCCCATTCCCTCCCTGCGCTCCTCGGGAATGATGGATGCGGAAGGGCTGGGAGGGGGGAGCTGGCAGCCGGGAGGGGCTCCGGGAGGGGTCTGCAGCACCCCGGTGTGGCCGAGCGGGTCTCGGGGGGGCTATGGATGTTGGGAATGTTGTGAGGGAAGGACCAGGTGGGGAGAGGACTGGACACACCACCCCAAAACTGGGGAGCCCCAAGGGGCAAGGAGCAGGGAGCCAGGGGGGAGGGGGGGATGCTGGAGGGACAGCAGGGAATTTCCCACCATGCACTGGGGCAGCATCCCCAGGATCTGTCCCCTCCCCACACCTCACTGCCCTCAGCGTGCCAGGGAGCCCAAGGCCCTGGTGAAGCCTCCTGGGGGCCAGTGCAGCCCCCACGGGGTAGCCACGCTGTGGGCAGCTCTGTTGGGGCTCAGCCACAGCCTCCCCATCCCAGGAGCAAGATCTCTGCCTGCCTCCCACACCCACAGCCTCTTGCTGGTCCCTGCACTCCCTGCCCGTCCCAGCACGGCCCACAGAGGGTCCCCCGGGGCGATCTGGGGAGGTCCAGGCTGGGCTTGAGTTTTGCCAGCTCAGGCTTTGCTGGGAGACAACCCACCCCCCCATCCCCACACCGGGGAGGTTCTGCCATGGTGGCTTGGCACAGAGTTCCAAAATCCCTGGGTTTTCCCTTAAATCAGAGGGATGTCAGCACCCCTGAGCCAAGCGCTGGCTGCGGGAGGCCGGAAACACCCGAATTAGAACCCTTGGTACCCCTGCCCTGCTCCGGGCTGGAGCACGGGGGAGACACTGGGAGGATGTGGGACGGAGGGACACTGTCCCCACGCTGTCCCCTCGGGACTATGAGGGGGGATGCGTGGCCGTGTGAGGCAGTGGGTTCCCGGGAAGCCCCAGCGCTGGGGAAGGGGATGGATGGGGGTCCCAGCACCCAACAGCCCCTCTCTGCTGATGCTCCAGCAGCCCGGGATCCTGCCAGCCCTACCCCTGTGCCCACAGTGCCTGCCTAGGCCAGAGTTCCTCCGGGCCCCCTGGGGAAGGGCTCTGAACCCCCAGACCCGCAGAGACCTCTGGCTGGGGAAGAACCCGAAATCCAGCTTTTTCCTCAGGCAAAATGGACCCTTTCTCCGGCTTGCCCGGAGTTCACTCCGAACACACAGAGCCCCAGCCCTTCCTCCTCCTCCTCTTCCTCCTCCTCCTTCCTCCTCCTCCTCCTCCTCCTCCCAGCCCCGGCACTGAGCCCGGCACGCACCTACCTGCCTCCACCGCGGCGCAGGTGAGGAAGCTGAGGGCGCAGGCAGAGGAAGCAGCCCCGTTTCCCCCCCCCCGTGCCCAGCGCCACCGGACGCGATGGCCGCGAGAGCTTTTGTTAATCTGCACCCGGCGCTTAAATTAAAAAAAAAAAAAAAAAAAAAGAAAAAACAAAAAAAAAAAAAAAGAAAAAAAAAAAAAAAAAAAAGAAAAAAAAAAAAGGAAGAAAAAAAAAAAACACGTCAAACCTTCAGGAGTCTGGAGGCTGCGGCGGAGCGGAGGGCACGGGAGGACACTCACTCCCACACGAGCAGCTTTCTGGGAATTAGGGCCACAGCCCAACTGCTCTGGCAGCCCGCGCTCCCCTCCAGCCCTGGCTGCCGGTACGGCGGGGCCTGGGCAGCCTCCCCGGTCCCGGTCCCGGATCAGCCTCACCGGCCCCGCACGGCCCCGCCGCCGCGGGGTCGGACGCGTCTCCCGCCCCTAATCTCCCGCTTTTCCCCAGGGAGGTGAGTAAGCATCGCTAATCCCGCTCGCTTCGCTGCTGGGCACAGACGAGCCGCTCCCCCCCACCGCGGGCCGGGGGGCTGCACCCCGGCACCCCCCGCCCTCCCCATCCCGGGTCACCCCTTCCCCCGCGGCTGAAGGTTGGGATGCAGCGAGGAGATGGAGCAGCTCCTCCCGGTCAGAGGGGACCCGCGGGGATGACGCCGCAGCCACCCACCTTTGCCGGTGCCCCCCATGCCCGTGTGCCAGCGCGGGGGCGCCGGGGGGGACGCAGGACCCGGCGGCGGCGGCGGATGCTGCTGGATTCTGCCTTGCCCGCATCCCTTCCTTCCCACCCCCGGGGGAGGACAGGCGGGACGAGCCGTCCCGGCAAGCCCCGCTGCGGGGGCACAGTGCCCGTCCTGTGCCACCCCCTCGCCTCCCCCCTCACCACCACCCCCCCCACGTGCCCGGGACTCCTGTTTACCCAGCGCCAGGAACCAGCTTCAAATACCTTGATGTAATTAAAAGCTCACCCCGGGGCCAAGGGCTTAGGACGGCAGCCAGGGACACGGGCAGCCCGCTGCCACCTGCGTGCGGCACAGGCAGGGCTGGCAGCTGCCCGCGCTCCTGGCAGCACGTACCTGGCGGCACCCGGGGGCTCCTGCCCTCAGCACAGGCCCCTCGGGTGGCCCCGGCGCCGGTGACAGGCAGGTGACGGCGTGGCACCGCTCCTGGGGCGGGGAAAGGAGAGCCAGGAGTGCTGGGCAGGCTGGCAAGGCTGGAACTCGGTTTCCCTCGGTGCCCTGGGATGCTGGGCCTCAGTTTTCCCTGGTTCCCAGTGATTCTGTGCCTCAGTTTTCCCTGGTTCCTGGTGATTCCATGCCTCAGTTTCCCTCAGAGCCTGGGATGCTGTGCCTCAGTTTTCCCTGGTTCCTGGTGATTCTGTGCCTCAGTTTCCCTCAGTGCCCAGTGATGCTGTGCCCCAGTTTCTCTTGGTGCCCTGGGCTGCTGTGCCTCAGTTTTCCCTGGTTCCTGTGATCCTGTATCTCAGTTTTCCCTGATTCCTAGTGATTCCATGCCTCAGTTTCCCTCAGTGCCCTGGGTGCTGGACCTCAATTTTCCCTGTTTCCTAGTGATGCTGTGCCTCAGTTTCCGTCAGAGCCTGGAATGCTGTGCCTCAGTTTTCCCTGGTTCCCAGTGATGCTGTGCCTCAGTTTCCTTCAGTGCCTGGTGATTCCGTGCCTCAGTTTCCCTCAGTGCCCGGTGATGCCGTGCCCCAGTTTCTCTTGGTGCCCTGGGCTGCTGTGCCTCAGTTTCCCCTCGGTGCCCAGAGAGGGGTCCCCAGCACATTCTGAGCGTGCTGCCCGGCCCCCCCCGAGCTTGGGGGATTGTGGTCCCCAAGCCCCCCCTGCCCTAAGCCTCCGGTGTCACGGCAGGGCAGGGACACGGAGCCGGAACCTCGCTCGGTGCCAGCGCGGGCTGGCTGGGGACAGACGGGTCCCCGGGGGGACAGGCGGCTGCGGGGAGGAGAGAGGGGATGCAGCAGCCTTCCTTCAGCCGTGTCCTCCCACACTCCCGTCACCTCGAACGCCCTTTCCCCGACCCCTCCTGCCACCGCCGCGCTCCCCACCCCGCCATCCTCTTCCTCGCCATCCTCCTCCTCACCCTCACCAGCGGTTCGCCGGCAGCCTGGGGGCATGTGCGCGCTTGAGGACACGATGTGGGGGTGCAAGAGGTGCCGGCTGACCCCCCCCTCCCCATAATGAGGGAGGAAGGTCTTACCTGCCCGGCAGCGGCGGGGAGAGGGAGGGTCTCAGCGCCATCCCCCCCCCCCCGAGCCCCCCCCCCCCCGCCCGCGGGCATCCCGCTGCCTGCAGCTCCACATCCCGCCTCCCTGCCCTCTGCGGCGGCGGCGGGAGGCAGCTGAGAGCTCCCGGGGCTGCCAGAAAAGAGGCTGCGTTTAAACAACAGACATAATTATGCTTTTGATACCGTCTGCTAAAAATACAGCGCGGTGCCGCGCGGGGAGCCATGTGTGCGCGGCCTCACATGGCTCCCGCCCGGAACAGCTGACTCAGGCAGCGGGCACTGAGAGGGGGGGGACACGGCTCAGGGGGGACCTCGGCGAGCATCGGGGGGTCCAGACCCTCTCCCAGCCTGCGGGAGGGTGCTGCTCCGCCGGGGACCCCCCAACAGCTGGTTTAAGGGCGATGAGGGTAACCCCAGGGATGGCATCGGCATCCCACACATCCCTCCCCAGAGGGGCAGCAGCCCCCCCCGGTTGGCTGCAGTGGGGTAAAACGAGCTGGGAATGGGGCAGGGAGAGGGGGGGGCTGCAGGGGCGTGGAGGGGTCACTCAGTGCCACCACTGTGGGGTTTGGGGGGCTCAGTGGGCTCCCAGCCCCATCAGCAGCAGGGGGGGGTGAGGAGGATGCTGAGGGGTGGGTGCAGGGGGGCTCTGGGGGTGGCACCCCAAGCACCCAGCGGCTCCCAGGGGAGGTCTGGAGGGTAAATCCCATTAATGAGTAATGAACCCACTTAACCTGACCCAGCAGCGCCGGGGGAGGGAGCAGGGCCAAGGTGACACCCCCGCAGTGCCCGGCCATGGCACCCCCGGGCACTGACCTTTGGCAGTGCCAAGGCACTGGATCATGAGGCTGCTGCCCTCCGGGAACGGGCAGCGCCGGTCCCGGGGTTGGCATCACGGTTCCCTGGAGCACCAGCCGTGCCCCTGTCAGCTGGGAGAGGGAGCAGCCTCGGGTCACCCGGTCCCTGCCAGCTCCCAGGGATGCAGGCAGGGAGCCATTCACCCTCGTCCTGGCACTCTCCCTTGTCCCTCTCCAGCTCTCCTGGAGCCCCTTTAGGCCCTGCAAGGGGCTCTCAGGTCTCCCTGGAGCCTTCTCTTCTCCACGTGAACCCCCCCAGCTCTCCCAGCCTGGCTCCAGAGCAGAGGGGCTCCAGCCCTTGGAGCATCTCTGTGGCCTCCTCTGAACTCGCTCCAACAGCTCCACGTCCTTGTGATGTTGGAGACCCCCCGAGCTGCAGGCGGGGTCTCACCAGAGCAGAGCAGAGGGGGAGAATCCCCTCCCTGAACCTGCTGGGGATGCAGCCCAGGAGCACCCCTGGATTATGTGACCTCCTGCAACACCCCAGCCCCACTTCACCCCTCCCCAGTGGGCACGAACGGGGTGGGACGGGGTGGGGGGTCCCCACAGCGGTGCCAGCCGGGGCTCAGCCTGGCACCCCCTCCCCGGAGGGGACTGTGGCAGCGGGCGAGCTCAGGTCAGGCGCTTAAACTGCTGTGCTGGGGCGGTGCCAGGCGAGCCGGGAGGGGATTAGGGCTCTGCTGACTGCAGCCTGGCACAGGCCCGTGCGCTGACACAGCTGGGATCAGCGCTGGCACCCGCGGGGGCTGCCTCGGCCCCGCCCGCCTCCCGTCCCCTCCTTGTGTTCCAGCCCCCGGGGAACACACGGACCTGCCAAAGCAGGGCGGCCAAAACTCCCGGTTCCCTTCCCAGGAACACACCTTGGGAGGTGGGGAAGGGGAGGGTGTCATGCCTCAGTTTCCCCGAGCTGGGAATCACCGGTCCCACCCCAGGGATGGAATGCTGGGGCTCCAACGCCGCTGCCACCCCCTCACTGCCCACCCTGGGGTCCCCCAAGCTGGGAGACACCCCCACCACCACCCCTTGACCCCCAGGTCGCCCCAGCAGCCTCCCTGGGCTGTATCCTTGGAGGAACCGCGCTCCCTAAGCGGCTTTAGGGGGATTACAGGCAGCCCCCTGGCCCTTGCTGTCCCCACCCAGCCTTCCTTCTCCGCTGCTTTAAGTAATCGTCTCCCGGGCAGTTTTACGGGGCTAATCCAGCCACCTCCACCTAAGCTGCTCCAACACCCCTGCCTGCCCCGGGACGCCCCTCGGAGCCCGCCCTGGAGAGGCTCCAGCCCGGGACAGACGCTCTCCCTGCCCTGGGAAGACCCCCCTGAAAGCAGCCAAGGGCTAAAAATACAGGCTGACCCGAGGGGTGAGGGCAGGAGGGATTGGGAGCGAGGGGATTGGTGCCAGGGACGGGGCACCGGGGGACAGGCGGGCGCCCGGGGGCAGGGGAGGCCACGCGAGTCACCTTGTGCCACCCTGCCCGACCCACTCGTGCCCACCCAAGCAGGGAAACCCCCCCCCCCGGGAAGGGGTTGGGACCCCCCGGGTGGGATGTGGGAGCGCCGGCAGGGAGGTGGAGGAGGGGTGGGCAAGGCCGTGGGGACAATCCCGGAGGGATGGATGTCAGGCTGGGGACATGGGGACACGCGGCAGGGTCAGGGCTGCTGCTGCCACGCCGTGGGGGACGCGGCTACTGCAGGATCCCGGCAGCCCAGCACCCACCCCCGGCTTCCTGGGAAGTTTGGGGATGTGACCTGGGGGTCTCGGGGTCCTAAAGTGGGAGGAAAAAGACTCCGGGTGAATCCCGGAGGATAAATCGTCCTCCAAGAGAGAAAAATCATCTCAGGAAGCTTCCCTGGAGGAGTCTGGGGCTGCCAGCTGGGACCCTGGAAGATGAAATATGGGTGAAAAGACCCTGGGAGGTGTCCTGGAAGGAACCTTGGGTGGATCCCAAAGGATACAGCCTCCTCCAAAAGACAGAAAATCATCTTGGGCAGCTTCCTTGGAGGAGTCTGAGGATGCTGCCCAGGATCCTGGAACCTGAGACGTGGGTGAAAAGACCTTGGGAGATGCCCTGGAAGGAATCTCGGACTGATCCTGGAGGATCAATCCTCCAAAGGAAAAACAGTCTCAGGAAGCTTCCCTGGAAGAGTCTGGGGCTGCTACGGGGATCCCACGTGCCTAAAGCAGAGGGGTAAAACCCCAGGAGGAATCTTGGATGGATCCCAGAGGATACAGCTTCCTCCAAAAGGGGAAAAAAAATCACCCCTGCACCCCCAGTGCTGCTCTGTCCCACCAGGCACTGCACCCCCCTGGGGAGAGGACAATTCCTGGCTCCAAAAATCTGACACAGCATTTATTTATTTTTTTTTTTCCATGTACAAAACCCCCTATTTTGGGGGGGAGAGGGGAATGTTAAAAGCCTGGGAATGAGGTGCCCAGCAGGGCCACAGTGAGGCACCAGCCCCCACCCCACCAGGTTCAAGTGTGGGGGTGTCAGTCTGTGTCTGGGGTAGGGGGGGAGCCCAAAAGTCTTTGGCTTCGGGGGGACAAGGCACATCCCATCCCATCCCATCCCATCCCTGGCTGCTGGGAGAGAGGGAATGTGGGGAACAAGGCACTGTGGCAGGAGGGGGGGGACCCCAGAGCGTGTGTAGTGTTT